TGATAATGACTGTGATATTTTAAATAGCATGCCTTTCCAGAACCTTGCAAAATACTGGAGAAGGGTTCACTAACACATTCTTACCATTTTGATTGCAACTTCCAAACCGGTGTGAATGGATTCAGCTCTGTAGACTCCAGCAAATGATCCTTTACCAAGTAGATTTCCAACCTTAAAGTCCTTTTAAAAAAAAAAAATTAAAGATTAGATGTTTGACTCGCAGAACTAGAAAGTAAGAAAGTTGGGTAGGAACTGGAATAAATCTGGTAAAAAGGACAGAGAGGAAAGAGGACAAGGTTCAAGCAGCCATCAGACCTCGATGATGCAGGTGCCTGGGGTGGCAGGCATCTTGTCGCTCCGCGGGACTTGCTGAGCGCGCGACGGGAAGGAGACTGAGCCCTCTAATGAGCTGGTTAGCTCGGCTCCCTCCTCCCGTCCATCCGGCTCCCGCCGCCGCTCCCGCCACGGTAACCGCCATCCCCGGGGAGGGGCAGGCGGAGCGGCTCCCCAAGCGCGGCTTTGGAGGCGGGAGAGTGGCCCCGACGCCTAGGGATGAGGACCGGGCGGGGCCCACAGCTGGTGACACACCTGCTGGGTATCACGCCCCACGGGAGCGGGGAGAGGGAGGAGAGGAGGGGAGGCTCCGAGGGGCGGGCCGCTCCGCCAGCCTCTCCGACACAGCACCCGCCCGCCTCCGTTCGCCCGCGGGGCCCCAGCTCACCTAAGCGAGCCCCCGAGCCCCGGGCAGCGCCTGCGCCCGTCCGCCCCGCTCCACCCGCGTCTGGACCGAGCCTCACCCCGACCTTCCGTCAGCTCCCCGTCTGCCCGCCTCACCTCGATCCGCTCCCCGATGCACGCCGCCATGTTCCCGGGCCGCGGGCGCCCCGGCCTCGGCCGTCTCGCAGTCCCTCCGAGGCAGCGCTCCGAACAGCCAGAGGGTCTTGGCGCCCATCAGGCTGTCCTTCCTATGCCGCCGCCGCTGACGACGCCGCCGCCGCCACCGAAAGGTACCCCCGGTACCTCCGGAGGCCTGGGCGGCGCCTCGCTGCTCCCATTTTGAAAAATTCCCGCCGGTGTCTGAGCGAGCCAGTTTGGCGGTGACGTCAGCAAGCTCACCGCTTCTGAGAGGGCGAGAGCGACGCGCATGCGCAGGAGCAGCTTCCGGGCCTCCGCGCTCTAGGCCGGAAGTGGGTAATGGTTTGAGGGAAAGCGGTCAGTGTGAGACTGACCAGAACGCCGACTTAGCTGTGTGCGTTTGGAGCTGGTAGTTTGGGTCTTGACCTGAAGGACGAGTCTGTTTCAGACTCAGGGGCGTAGTGCAATAGTAGAGGGTCTTCCTAGCACGCTCCGGGCCTTGGCTCTCCTTAGCAAATCTTAAAAATAAAGTGTTTAGACTTAATTTAGAGAGAGCTAGCTGGAAAAAAAGTCCAGCGGGGCAGTGGTGGCGCACACGTTTAATCCCAGCACTCGAGGGACAGAGGCAGGTGGATCTCTGTGAGTTCGAAACCAGGCTGGTCTACAGAGCAAGTTCCAGGACAGCCAGAGCTGTTACACAGAGAAACTCAAAAAACCAGAAAAGTCCATTGCTATTCTTAGAACACCCTCCATGTACCCCGTTGTAATGTGTGTGGTGATTTAAGAAAATGACCTGCACAGACAAAAGTGCCATCTCTGCTTTAAAGTAAAATACGGTCTGGGGATGAAGTTGAGTGGTAAATGATATTTAGCACTCACAAGTCCCTGGGTTCCAGTTCCTCCTCTCCCAGCACCCAACCCCCAATATTAAAAGCTGGGCATAGCAACTCATTCTCGAAATAACAGCACCTACGGTAGGAGTGTTGCCCTGAGTTTGAGGCCAGCCCTGGAGTCTTTAACATGTTCTAGGCTAACCCGGGCTACTTGTCTCTTTTACAAAAATTTATTCTGAGCTGTATGTGAGTGACTTAGACTAGGGAATCAACACAAGTTTCCTTGAAAATTGTTCTGGAGGAAAGAGTAGGTGCAAGGATCTTTACAAGCAGAAAAAGAGGTAATTACAAATCAGTATTAGTTTCCAGGCAGGGGTTTGCTTTTTTAACCTAATTGTCCCGAGACACTGTCAGATGTAAACAGATCAAAAGTAATAGCTTGTTTTCTGAAGGCCCCACGTAGTGTGTTATTTCTCAGTCTGCCTGTTTTACCTCCTTTAAATAGAAATCCCGATAGTGTTAGTCAAGCGGGTGTAGATGCTATCCTCAAATGTCGGTGACTCCAGGACAGTAGTGGGGCAGGGAAAAGATTCATTTGGAAAGTCAGCAGACCAAAATGGCAGCTCTTTGGTTGCTAACAAAGATCATCTTAGGGGACCCAGGGTCTCAAAGGACCTGTAGTTAGGGACAGGAGCTAGAGGCAGTGGGCACTTTGTGAGGGCCTCATTCAGGGCCTTTTTGTCTTTGCTTGTAATATCTTTGAGATAATCACACCCTGCAAGCTAAGCATTATTTCACAAGTACTTGGCCGGCATTTTTCAGTTACTGTGAAAATCTGTTGGACTGGAGATTTGGTGCTGTGAGAGAACTTCCTGCTCTTGGTGAGGACCACATTTGGTTATCAGCACTCATGACTATCAGCTCCCCCTCCTCTTAACTCCAGGTCCAGGGTCTCTGATGCCATCTTCTGGCTTCTGTGGGCATCACACTCATGTACACCAATCCTTAGTCACATACACTTTACAAGAATAAAATTTAAAACCAAAAATCTCATTATGTGCTGGACATTCTCAGAGTTGCTTGAAAACAAAGATAGACATGCCAGAATGCCTGCTATTTGAAGCTTGTATTTTTGTGTGATAAGAGATTTTATATCTATATAAAATGGTAACTACACATCAAACAAACAAACAAACAAACAAACAAAACACCCGTGGGATTCAATGGCTTCAGCCTTAGTTTAAGGAATATTTACATTTATAGAAGTATTCTCTAATTTTCAACATGATTTAACAGTCTAGAATTTTAATTTCAAGCATATGAGCATATAGAATTTCTTTTGTAATGTCTTACTAGGCAATTAAAAATTTTTTGACATAGGGTCTTGGTATGTACCTCAGACTGGCCTTGAACTCCAGATCCTCTTTTAGGTGCTGGGATTTTAGGTGTATGCCACCATGCCCGGCTTCATAGGTGAACTAGACTGCTCTCTAAATTCTGATTTTGGTATTCCTGGGCTTTACTTTGTAGCCTACCATTTTTGTAAATATTCCACGTGCATTTAAACTGAGTCCATTAAAAAGTCCATGCCTGTTGCTATAAATCCAGTCCATCTGGCCACTTTTGTTGTTTTATTTATTTATTGCCTCCATCATCACTGTTCCTGTGGGCCTCACCTTCACTGGCAGTTGCTTCCTATGTTCTGAGACTCTTGTGTCAGAGCTGTTACATTTCTGGTGAATTATCTGTAATCAAAGCAGCCCATTTACATTCTAAATGATTCATTTATCCTATTCACGTAGAGGGCACACAGTATTTACATCAACACATTCAGTAGGCATTTTCTTACCATAACTTTTCCTCTTCTTTTGGGCCTTTTGGAAAGCCAGAAATAGTCTTCAAACTGGCAAATGTATGACACCTTTTAGTTACTGGTCTTAGGTTTTTGTTTACTTGGATACATGGTCTCTAACCCTGACTATCCTGGTACTGGGTATGTAGACCAGGATGGTCTTGTACTTGCAGTGAACCCCCTCCATCTGCTTCCCTAGTGCTGAGATAACCAAAGTAAGTGCCCCATCTGGCTCCTAGATTTTCTTTTTATTCTGTCTGATTTTAGTTGTTTAAGTTATCTCCTACTCTTATGTCATTCTTGTCATCTCCCATCACTGCTCTACTGGCAGTGAGTAAACAGGTGGCCAGAAGAATCACTGCAGAGTGCCAGCATGTTGACATCATGCTGCCTGTGAGATTTGTGGGCTGTGTGAACATCTTGAATCCTTTATGCAAAGAGGGAAATTATAAAAGACACACACATACTCTGACAGTTCCTTGCCTCTAAAATGTTCTCTTTCCTCTTATATTACATAAGCAGCTGAACCAAGTAAACACCTATAATTCACCCATCTAAGACTTTAGAATATGTGTATTTCACTGGGAAGTTTACAGTACAGAGTATAAATGTTTTTTTTTTGAGATTGAGAACAGACCTTTTAATTTTTTAAGGCTTTCTGACCCCCCCGGAAGATTAATATTGCATTCATTTTTATCAGTCAGCCACAGCAGTTAGTTTTTGTGCCTGGAACTTTGTAGATCAGACTGACCTTGAGCTCACAGAGATCCTGCTTCCCCATGCCTCCCAAGTACTAGGATTAAAGATGTCCACCACCACTTCATCTTATTTTTTGCTCCAGATCCACGTGCTTCTACTTGCATTTTACTGAGACATCTCCCGAGCCCCAGGAGCAGCAGTTCCTTTTATTATTATTGTATCGTGTGTGTCTCTGTGTGTGTGTGTGTGCACACACGCGTGCATGTCATAGTCAGGACAACATTGTACAGCTGGTATCACCCCTTCCATCATGGGATCTAGGGAACAGACTCAGATCCTCAGCAAGTGTTTATTGGTTGAACCACCTTGACAGCTCCAGGAGCAGCAAGTCATAAACAGAGGACACAAACCTCTGTTCTTCTCAACCCACTAAGAACTTCCAAAGCTTTCCTTCTTTCTCAACTTACTGAGAACTTCCAAAGCTTTCCTTCCATCGGCACATCTAACATTCACAAACTACCATATAAAGATTTCAGAATTAAGTGTCTGAGTTTGCAGATTTTGCCAGGTTACTCAAAAACTTTGATTGCTATGCAGATTTCTTTAAAATAATTTGGTGACCTGTCCTCTGTGTTTCATGCAATGCAATGATAGAGTTCAACACTTGAATATTAAACCTCTGGTGTGCAAAACTTATGGTTCAAGGAGCAGGTAGACTATATATTTATTATTACATGACTTCTTGACGATGTGGACTGACATCCAAAGGTGAATTGCATTTATTATCAATTATTTGTTTACTAGTATGAAGATGCAATGTACACACATAGGAAATGTTTTATATGCTTTGATCATTCCATATGCAAACATTTTGTGGATATATTTGTGAACCAAAGTCATATTCCAAAATGGTATTTGTAGAATATTATCAGTAACATTGAAAGCCATTCTTATGTCTGTTCATTGAAGGTAATGGTCTATTATGTCAAACTTATTTTTATAGAAATGTCACATTTGATTAAAATTTTCTGAATTGCAAACAGAATTGATAAATCAAATGTACAGTTCTAAAAGGAAGGAAACTAAGAACAGTTACTAAGAACAAAACTCAAAGGTTATTTTACAGGAATGACTGGAGTAGAGTCACTTTGTACGTAGTTGTAAAGGCCGTGAGATGACTGGAAAACCATTTACCAGAACTGAATAATTTAGGATAGCTTCCTTTAGAATGTGATGCTGAGTAAGAGTGGCTTCTTTCTACCACATCTAATAGGTGACCACTTCATGGTAAGATGCTCCTTCCAAGAAACTAAGTCACAAAAGTTTATTTTAGGGAAAAATGTAACTGTAAAGCTTCTTTTATCTAGTTTTTCATTTTAAATTCCTTCTTAACATGTACATTCTAAGCAGGCTGTCATGATTTTTTAAAAGTATTTTCACTTAATTTCTCAGAAGGAACAAACTTAGGAAACTAAAAATAATAATGCGTAGAAAGATATTCAGTGCTTTTTTTTAAAATCAGAAAGCATCAAAAGTGTCTGCTCTGTGACTTTCTCATGACCCTTGTTATTTTGTCATATTTCACAGACAGTACTCACAGACTGACTTTAAATTACCTAACACCTAAAAGATGGAGAATCTAGTCAATGCCACTATTAAAACTGGAGATTGTTAAAATTGGAGATGTTGAATATGGAAATGTATAGTTTTGTTTATTTCATATGAATTAAGAGTCCCAAATCCTAAAGGTAAGACTCAGTATTACAAAGGAAAAAAAGGGCTGATCATGGTGGCACACACCTGTAATCCTAGCACTGGAGGCTGAGGCATGAGAATCACAAGTTGGAGGCCAGCCTGAACTACGTATCTAGTTCTAGTCTCAAAAATAAGGGGAGGGAAACTCCTAAACCTGTCTAAATTGTTAACTTAAACATCAGAGTGATCAAGATTTCAATATCATGAAAGAGGAATTAAAGGAAAATCAAGATTTTTTTTTTTGAGACAGGGTTTCTCTGTGTAACAGTCCTAGTTGTCCTGGAACTCGCTCTGTAGACCAGGCTGGCCTCAAACTCATGGAGATACGACTGCCTCTGCCTCCTGAGTGCTGGGATTAAAGGCGTGCACCTGGTGAACATCAAGATTTTAAAAGAGCAATACATTTGAAAACACTGGCCATATAAATGACATTTTACATATCATTGATTGTGAACGTGTTATTTATATGCTATAAAACAATCTAAGACATGTTGCATCTCACTGCCTCTTTATAGGACAATAAAGGTCTCAATAAGTTTCCTTAGTCATTCTGTGACTTGGGCCATGTTATTTTCATTACTATGGATCTGACTGCATCATAACATCAGATGGTCATGACTTAGTTACTATCTCTGACTCCTTGATTTGAAAGCTCCCGTTTTCAATATATTTTGATGAATATGTTGTTTCTGTTACTATTTACCCTAATAATAGCTAGATTCATTCTTAAGAATCCAGAAGATGAGGAAGCCTTTGCAGCTGTAAAATGCTGACCACTTCCACAGGGATTTCAGTTTTCAACTTTCCTTTGAAGCAGTTTGATTTTCAACATTCTCAATATTCTAGATGCCCCTTTGCTGTTTAGAATAAGAATTTAAAAATTTAGCCATGTTTGATTGTCTGAATGAGAATGGCCCCCACAGGCTCATTTGAATGCTTAGTCACCAAGGAGTTGGAATGTTTGAGAAGGATTAGAAGAAATAGAAGGCAATGAATGTTAGTGAGGCTGTCTACTCCAGAGCTGTCCCTGCTCTCAGACCTATTATATAGAATTAGTATAAAGGACTTAATTTGTCTGAGTTACCAACCAACTTCCAGCTATCAAAATCACATGGTAACCATTACATTTCAGATGCATAAGAACTAAACAACGGCTTTACCTATTTTAGGTCACACTGATATAGTCACTCTGTCAAGGTCTCTCGCCTTTTTAGGTGGATTTTTCACAAGTCAGATTACTTAATTGCTAACTTTGTGTGTGTGTGTGTGTAGCATTGGCTGAGTCCAACTATATAGTCTAGCCCAGCTCACTCTGCAGACCTGGCTGGCCTGAACATTGAGATCAGTCTGTCTCTGCCTCAGGAGTGCTAGGATAAAAGGCATTTGCCACCATGACTGTTTAATACTGTCTTCAAACTGATTATTGAGCTCCATAATTTAAAGATGTCTAGCTAGGAAATAATCACAAACACATGAAAACTTACCTTCCCCATTTGTTCCCAGAAAATACCTAGTCACTATTTTAAAACTGACTGTTATTCCAGTACCTGAGTTATTTGATATAATGTTTCTACCTTTTTAGATTTTAAGGATTCTGTACACTACTTACAGAATCAGACAGGTGGTGGTAGTGCATGCCTTTAATCCCAGCACTCGGGAGGCAGAGGCAGGCGGATCTCTGTGAGTTCGAGGCCAGCCTGATCTACAAGAGCTAGTTCCAGGACAGGCTCCAAAGCTACAGAGAAACCCCATCTAGAAAAACAAAACAAAAAACAAAAACAAAGAATCAAAGCAAATTTGCTTTCTGAGGTAGGATGTCAGTATAGCCCTGCCTCACCATGAGTTCAGACTCCTTCTGAAGCAAAGCACTTCTGGGTGCTTCCACCTTGTCTTGCACAGTTTCTTTTTAGTACCATTTAACAGTCTTTATATAAAAACAGTATAATTGTATTAAGGGTTGATTTTGGGAGGGGGGTAGTGGGTTCAAGACAGGGTTTTTCTGTGTAGCTCTGACAGTCCTGGAACTTGCTTTGTAGAGCAGGCTGTTCTTAAACTCAGAGATCCACCTGCCTTTGCTTCCCGAGTGTTGGGATGAAAGGCGTGCGCCACCACTCCTGGCTTAAGGGTTGGTTTCTTTCTTTTTTTCTTCAAGACAGGGTTTCTCTGTAACAGCCCTAGTTATCTTGGAATTAGCTCTTGTAGAACAGGTTGGCCTCGAACTCAGAGATCCACCTGCCTCTGCCTTCTGAGTGCTGGAATTAAAGGCGTGCGCCACCACTGTTTGGCAAGAGTTGGTTTCTTAAAGGAAGATAATTTGTACTTTTGGAATTAAACCAACATTAAGAAACCTTTAGTTCCTACCCTTCTTTGATAGTTTGATGAATCGTAACATTGCTTTGGCTATTTATTCTTTAAATAATTCACCTTTATGTTTTGAAAACTCTTAGATCTAGAATTACCTAATCCAATGTATATTAAAGATGAGTTCAATCTTACTGTCTACTAAGGAGAATCTATTTTCCTTTAAATTCCATAAATAACATGGGATTTTGTTTTTTTCTTGACATTCACATCAAATTTTAAAACTGTGCAGATTATCTTTGGATGTATTTAACTTATTAAACGAGACATTATATAATCACAAAAATATGTTACCCGACTAAAACAATGAACTTCTGAAAGTGACTAGAGCAGGGTGGAGAATGTGAGGCTCTGCTGGACATTCGGTGCAGGGAGAGACGCTTCTGCCACTTCCAACAGGGTTCTGAGAACAGCTCCCTACTGAGTGAGTACAAGTGTTAACCAAGAAGCAGCTATACAGTTCTGTGTGGGCACATACTCCCTTCACAACCATGATTTTTTTAAAGTGGACCTATGTATATATTCACCATACAAATGAAAAGTAACTGATAGCTACTTAAAAATGTATTTCTTCATTTATTGGATCTAATTATTTCACGTTAATAAAAGATAAAGACATTTAAAATATGTTGTGACTATATGATTTTCTTAATAAAAAGGGATGATATCTTCCCCCAAAAAGCTGAATAAAAATTTCTGTAAAATGACCACCCACCCTCCTACAATCTCTTTTCAATGCAGACTACATTGTAGGAACAAAATCTCTATTAGAGAACTCATTTGAGAAATGACTATCCCTAAAGATAGTATACTCTCAGTCGTTAACTACTTAAGAAAAGTCAGTGTTGTTTAATATAAAGATTTGGGACAAGAGCCTTTGAAAACTGGAACTGAAGTTGATCTTCAGTAAACTAGCATTAGGAACACAAGGACCTATACATCTGTCATGCTTCTTTCCCTTGAAGACTGAAGCATCATTCCAGCCCTCCCCATGGTTAAATAAACAGTTCCAAGCCTCAGGATAGAGCTGAATGGTGTGAACAAGTCTGGTGATAAACCACAGACCAGGTCCTCAATAGAGCTGAAGTACACTGCCTTTTCCCATTTAAGAAGCACCAAACCTGGAGCCAAGTTTTCAAAAGGCAATTTAACATCAGGAACTATAATTTAATCACATCATATCATATTACACTATGTAACATTACGTATTTTACCTACCGATGTAACACAGTTAAGTTTATTACAAGCATTATTTCCTAAGACTTACGGTACAGGTATTCCTTTTTTTAGGAATTTCTGCTTATTTTATAGTGTTTATCTACATTGGAACATTAAATCAGTGATAGGTATATATGATGCAATGAAGTGTGCAATTTTCCCTACCCCAGATTAAGGTATTATAAACAAAAATCAATTAAGAAAACCAACACAACTATAAAAACTGAACTAAGCCTGTCGACAACCTAGATGCACATCCTAACAGGTCAACAATGCTTCCTCATAACCTGAAGGTATAGGCTTAGCATTGGTGTAGTAGCAGCTGGTCTTTAGGACAAGTAGATCAACAGTTTAAACATCAATCCATTCTACTAACAAAAGCAGCAAAGGCTGGTGACATCTGAATATCAAACTGCATCGTTTCTTTCTGACTCATGTATGTGATGACAACACTGGAGTTCTTGAGGCGCGCCAGTGAGAAGGACTAGTATGTCAGAACCTCTCATTTGTTTTAATATTTAAATAACAATACGGATACCAGGAAAAGGTCAGTGCTGGTGGCTCTAAACCACATGAAATTCAGTTTCTTTTCACAGTAACAGTGCATTCAGTTCCCTGCCTCTGCAACAAAAGAACGATGCAGTACCCCTTCTTGCACAGAGGAGCTGAGGGCTCTGCAAGTAACAGCCGGGACTAAGGTAGACGGATGCGAGTACACAGCAGTCCTGCACACTGTCACAAAGTATGTGAGGAGAGCTCAAACTGACTTGTACATCTATATTCAGCTAAAGCTTCACAGCAGCAATGGGCAACAACAGCGCACTCAATATAGACACTTTTCAAAACTACTCCAAAAAACAAATGACAAAAGTAGTTAAGAACAACTGAACATATGTTGTGTGTACCGGGCGTAAAGGATGAATGGACCCTGTAGTTATCCCACTGTTGAATTACATGAAACTTAGTCCACGTCCATCTCTCCAGATTCTGTGTGCTGTGAGCTGCCTTTTGCTGGATCTGGGTTGGTCTCTGTACCACTCTGTCCATCCATTGGTCCATTGTGTTCACCGTTGGCTTTTGCTTTGTCTTCAGGAACTTCTACTTTTGGTTTGGGCTTATAAACGATGGGGTTACAGAAATTATCCAGTTCCTGAAGACAGAAACAAACCATGCCAAATATTACACAAAATGCTTAAGATGTCTGACAGTACTCTAACCTCTTAAAGCTTGCACTTATTACATTTAAATAGTTCAACATATTTAATATTTTTATTACTGTACTTTTTTACTTATATATTTTGTTCTTTTTAAAAAGTATTTATTTATTATGTATACAATATTCTGTAAGAAAAAAGAGGAATGTCATATACAAAAAATAAAACAAGGTAAATTTTAATATTAATACTTAAGTAGCCTCTCTCTCTCTCTCTCTCTCTCTCTCACACACACACACACACACACACACACACACACACACACCGTGTAAACTGAGGTTCCTAGAAGAAGGCCCTGTCTACACTGAGATTCTGCAGGCTGGCTGGCTGATTAAAATGCTGTGACTGTGGAGAGTTGAAGTGTTGATCAAGACCTAAAATTATGGCATGTCTTAATTTAGGCTGGACTAACTTACCAGCACAGTAACTTTCACCATCCCCAAAGCCAACTGTGCCATCAAGATAGTGTCTGAAACCTGGAATGGGATTTTTCTGCTGTTATAACATCTCTACCTTCAGCCCCCACATATGTATTTGGTCAATGCCTTGATTTATGATTTACTTTTGTTCAAAAACTGCTGTGGGACAATGGTCTGTACCCTATCATTTGTATTTTAAATAAACACTGACTGGCCAGTAGCCAGGCAGGAAGTATAGGCGGGACAACCAGACAGGAAATAGAGGTGGGGCAACGAGAATTCTGGGAAGAGGAAGTTTCAGTGTGCAGTCACCACTCAGACAGAGAGGAATCCAGACACAGAGCAAGCAAGATGTGTCTGCCTTGCTGAAAAACGTACCAAGCCACGTGGCTAACACAGACAAGAATTGCGGGCTAATATAAGTTATAAGAGTTAATAAGAAGCCTGAGCTAATAGGCCAATCAATTTATAATTCATGTAGGCCTCTGTGTATTTCTATGTATTTCTTCAGGACTTAATGACTTCAGGAACTGGGCAGGACAGAAACCTCAGTCATCAAGAAACTAAGTTCATAAGACCACTTCCATAATGAAATGTTACTCAATGTAACCTGTACATGTGTTCATGGTCCATGATCACTCACAATAAAACTATGTCCTTATTTTGAAGTGAGAGCTGTGTTTTCTGCCTACAAATGTGATCTTATTAGGGTTTTATAATAATTTTTACTCAATATGTTGTAAAATGTTTATAAATAAAACATTTGATAGTTACATTCCATATACAGTAATAATTTCTAGAATTTTTGTAGTAATTTCTAGAATCGAGAATTTTGGCTAAGAGTTATAATGTACTCACAAATGTCTACATATGTTTGTATATTATATATTCTGACACAATTCCCAGGAAAGTTGTACACATTTAAATTGGTCAGAGGAGAGTACCCACTGCTCCACATCCTTCCAACTATAGCAGAGATTATAAACGTGATCACAGCAAATGATGCAGACAAAAACACCTGCATTCTTAGTGACTGCGTACGCATCTCTTTGTCAGCCCCCAACCCAGTGTCTTTGCTTACTGAAAATTTTTTTAAATATTTATTTTATTTATTTATTATGTATACAATATTCTGTCTGTGTGTATGCCTGCAGGCCAGAAGAGGGCACCAGACCTCTTTACAGATGGTTGTGAGCCACCATGTGGTTGCCGGGAATTGAACTCAGGACCTTTGGAAGAGCAGGCAATGCTCTTAACCACTGAGCCATCTGTCCAGCCCGCTTACTGAAATTTTTACGTAATTTTGGTGCCACGTTTTTCATGTTTTTATAGCTTTTGACATTTTTATTATCAATGTTTATTAAATTTCAAAGTTTATCTAAGATTACATAAACTTAAAAACAGGATGTCACAGTGGAAGATTTCACATTCTAAAGATAGACATATTGCAATAAAGATATCAGAGGTCGCAAGGAATCGATATTTATGTTGGTCATATTGGTATATTTCATTCTGTATTACTCTTGGAACTTGAAGCCAGAAATGTCTAGCAAGTTGCAAAAATAGGTAGACACCCTCATAACCTAGAATTGCTGATGTTAGCAAAGCAAAGCCTGGGTTCTTTTGCAAGTTGATTACTTCTCAGTGTATACTCATTAAGTTTTTAGTCCCTAAAATTATTTTAGTGTCTAAACCTATTAAAAAGGACGTTTGAGGTAGTGATATGGCTCAACAGGTAAGAGTGACTGCTGGACAAGTCTGGGAATCTGAGCTCTATCCTTGAAACCCATACAGAAGTGGAAGCCAAGAATCAACCTGTACAAAGTTGTCCTCTGATCTGTGAGCCATGGCACATGTATCCACACACTCTTTGTGACCTTTTTAACACACACCACAAACACGTTTCTAAAAGGGAATTTTAGTTTCTTACCTTTGACCTTGCAACTATTTCTGAGACCTTTACCACAGGATCTTGAGTAAGACTTAGCTTGTTTTGAGCATTCATCTTACTGTTTAGCCAGTTCATGGACTCGCTGATGTACTGCTCAACCTTTTCCATTTCAGCATGATCCAGATGTTCATACCTTTCATCCTATTACAAAAAGTAATACAATTGTAAAAGGAAAACAAGTAACTGAGTTTTCATAAGTAATGACTTATTGATGATTTCTTCTTAAAATGTTCAAGTTCTTATTATATGCTTCATGCATATTAATGTAAAGATGCTACATACAAGGTAATAAGAGCTAAAAAGACTAGGATATAATATAAAATCAGGATGGACTTGCAAAGGACTCCAAAAGAGGTCAGCTTTGAAGAAGAACCATCAGTAGAGGCTCTGCATTGGGCAAGAGAAGCTAGGATAGAGTAGAATGAAAGTAGGTGCAGAGGTATATAGTGAGGGAGAAAGAAAATTCTGAACATACCATAAAACTAGGTGGTACATCTTTGACAAAAAAAGACAATGAAATTCTGTCCAAACTACACAGTTGCAGCTTCTACATCCAGGAAACCACCCGTGGTCACAGTTTACATCAGTAGCCAGCAGAGCAGAAAGAAGTAGCAACATAACATAAAGCAAGAGGATTTCCTGATAAAGATTATGTATTGCATAGAAAATGCAGGATGGACAAGGAAAAATAAGTTGTTGAGGAAAGAGAAGAGGACAATAGGAAGGGGGTAAGGAGGATCAGCTCATTACCTCTGAAAATTCCATAATGAAATCCAATACTGTGTATGCTAGTTAAAGTTCTTTTAAACAAAATTCTTTCACTGTATTTTTTTTCCTTCAGATTTTTGAGACAGGTTCTAACCAAGCTAAACTAGGGCTTGTCTTTAGAAGCCTTACCTTCTTCAGCACTGATTAAACCCCTTGGGGATACCACTTTCAAAACTCTTAAGCTTTTCCAGTTTCCTTTGTAAGATAACAAATTACAATCTTCATATTGGATTTGGCTTCTAGGCTGCTACATTTTATTCACTTTCTTACTATCCTCATGAATTAGGTTTTCCTTGGTAGTTATTTGCACTAATCAATACACATGCCTTTTAAAAAATTATCTGGAGCCTGGAGCCTTTCCCAGAACTCTCACCTCTAATCAACTTGAGGCTATTTGTAAAGTCTGAAATCTCTACTACAATCTCTATTACAACTACTACTATTATAACTACTAATACACTGATTACATCACCACCTACTTTTTGAAGTTTTCTCCATGTCAGTATATTTAAGTATGAAGCCAATTCATAATGATCTTTGGAGTATTTTGGAATGTTACATTTGTATCTTATAAACAAGGAGCAGGGAAGTACATATCTTAGTTAAGGGAGCCACCTTAGGGTTGGCAAGAGACTTGGACCTAGAGGGGCTCCCAGGTGCCCAGGGCGATGTCCCCAGTTAGTTCCTGGGGTAGCTGAGGACAGAGAACCTGAAATGACCCTATCCTATAGCCATACTGATGAATATCTTGCATATCACCATAGAACCTTCATCAGGTGATGGATGGAGATAGAGACAGAGACCCACACTGGAGCACCGGACTGAGCTCTCAATGTCCCAATGAGGAGCAGAAGGAGGGAGAATATGAGCAAAGAAGTCAGGACCTCTAGGGGTGCACCCACCCACGGAGACAGTGGGGCTGATCTATTGTGAGCTCACCAAGGCCAGCTGGACTGTGACTGAAAAAGCATGGGATAAAACCGACTCTCTGAATATGGCGGACAATGAGGGCTGCCGAGAAGCCAAGGACAATGGCACTGGGTTTAGATCCTACTTCATGTTCTGGCTTTGTGGGAGCCTAGCCAGTTTGGATGTTCACCTTCCTAGACCAGGATGGACTTTCCACAGGGCAGGGAACCCTGACTGCTCTTCAGACTGGAGAGGGAGGGGGAGAGGAGAGGGAGGAGGGGGAGAGAAATGGGAGGCGGGGATGAGGTGGAAATTTTTTTCAATTAAAAATAAAAGATAAATGCAAAATTCTAATCACTCTTGGTCTTTCATTATCAAGTTTGAGCTATCGTTTCTTGATTGTTTTATTCTAATGTCTTAGCTAGTCTACTACAAGACTCTTCACAAACTAGGTCAAGTCACATTGCTTGTATGTTCTGAAAACCCCAAGCTACCTGTATCAGAGTAAACCCCAAACTTTCACAACAGCCCAGATGAGGCCTGTGATGAGACATCTGTCCCTTCCCCAGATTTGTTGCACCAGCTTTGATGTTTCTTTTGTATGTTCCCCTGTGTATGTGTGTTGGGGAAAAGGCTGTATTTGAAGATCAGAGGGCATCCTACAGGAGTCAGGTCTTTTTCTTTCATTGTGTGTGACCTTAGATCACCGGACTCAGTGGCCTTAATGAAGCCATCTCTGTTTCTGTTTTCAAGAATATTTCTTCACCATCCATTCTGAGCCCTGGCTTTCCTCAATTCTTTTAAGACGTATATATCTCTCACTGGTCTGCCCTTTTCTCTGACATAGCACCTTAAAGTCCCTTACTTACTCCATAGCCCCTTTGTTAGCACTTTATTTTCCAACTGAAGCATATGAGACCAAAAAGGCCCAGTATTTTTGTTTGCAAAGTCCAGGACCCACAAAACATCCTGGTATTTAATTAGCACTCACATGCCTAATGAAAAGTAAAGTCTTAGTTTCTTTTGGATGGTATCTTAAACCCCCCCTCAAGACCACTGGGGTCAGAGGAGCACTAATCATGTCAGGAACTACACCAGATTTGAAATATGCTTGCTATTTTATCTGCCTCATTCTTTACTTTTCCGTTATCCATATATTCTGTTTGGGAATATGCAGGCAGATTGGGCTAGTAAATTACACACTTTCTTTTACAACACACATAAATCTTTTAAAATAAGAAATTAAGTTGTATATTGGAAAACTGTAGATACTGAGAGGTTGTATACCAGCTACTTCGGTTTGACTCCTGACTCCTGTCATTTATGATCTGTGTAATCCAACAAACTGCTTAAACATCCAGATCTTCTCATATGCGAATCAAGGCAACAGTAGTCATCGTTCATGGGTACTAAATACCCTGGTGAGAACTGTGTGAGACAACCCCCACACAGTGCTTAAGATCTACTAAGTGCTTGAGGAATCTAAGCGACTGGGATGATGTCATGCCTGAATGATCTTGGTGTTGCCCTCTCCTGTATATGGATAAAGTGTTAACACCAATGATCAAATCTGATGATAACAGTATGTAAGTGGGGAGCAGTAAACCTGACCCCATGGAACAACCTCAAAAAGGTGGCCTGTTTCTCTTGAGTTTTCTGGAACAGGGCTGTGTTTACTGGTCTGCTGCAATGGAACAACAGCAAAGAAGAAGTGAATGGACACAGTAAAGACTGTAAGGTATAAACCAATAATTTCCTAAACAGTCTACTAGGCCTGACTGGTTACTTACTGTTCCATCCAAGTAGACACATGTTATATATAACCCTACCTGAAGCTTCAGAACAGAGGAGAGTTGAGAGAGATTTGGGTGTGTACAAAGAACAAAAGGAGATTAACAACAAATTAGGCAAGAAAAAACATAGTTTGGTAGTATAGAGGCGAGGAAGACTTTTTTCTTACAAGAAACACAAACATGAAAACAAAGGGTTTTGTCACTGCATTAACTTAAAGCATGGCTTCAGGGAAATCCAAGAGGTGAAAGCCTCAGATTTTAAATGTCTTGGAGTCCTCTACTAGTAATTCCTCATTAAAAAACTCTTGGTTTAGGTGTGTTCAGTCTCTTGAGAAGCTGCACTCTGGGGCTGAGGGCTTCTCCACACGTCCTCCGCAGCTGCCCTCACACCCCAGTACCTTGTTTCTGTGTGCTTCTATTACTTTCAAGACAAGTTGAATCTTTTTTCCCAAGTCGTTTAAAGCTTTCGGTCTCTCCTCATGCTCCACATACTTCATTTGAATGGGCTGGCCATACTTCTATTAACAAGAAACATTTAAAGAGAGTGAATAATTTTAACAGGATACATTTATTTCTCCCTTAGAGGATGATAGATAGACAAAGAAGATAGACAAAAATACAACTTTTCTATTTTTCCCACAAAAAATTTATTTCAGTGGCCCTTATCCTACTTTATAATACTGATTTTATCTAAAAAAATTCACTCATGGTTACCTCTTGACTCTTTTCAAAACCCAAAACCTAATCCAAACTGTCAATCTTTTCAAAGCAAGGTGCTAAAACTTTTAGAACCATTTGAAAAAGAAAATAAGGACTATTTGGAATTTGCAAATTTAAAACTTGGTTTCAAATTTTATTTTTGAAACGGGGTCTCCCTGTGTAGCTCTGGCTGTCTTGGAAATCCCTATGTAGACCAGGCTGGCCTCAAACTCACAGAGACCCACCAGCTTCTGCCTCCCAAATGCTGACATTAAAGGCAAGGTGAACCAAACTGAATACCAGTGCTTTTGCATCATAATTTTTATAAAACATTAATAATCACCTACTACTTAAAGCAATTTACTAACCTTTAGCTCCTGAAGCTTATCCACATAAACTTGTTTAGGTTGGTCTTCTCCTTCTTCATAAAGCCAATTTTCTGTGTCTTCCAATATTGTGGACAGTTTGTTCATGTCCTAGTCATACATTTAAGAGACACTAATTACAAATGTCTTGGAAATAGAGGTCAATACCAAATTCTTCTAACCTTATTCTTAAAAAAAAATGTTTTTCACTATCCTCCTCCAACTTAAAAAAAAGAGCCATCAAAAAAATTGACAATAACAAATTTGATATACTTTTAAACATGATTCTTATGAAGATTTTGAAATAAACATTCAAGTTCACAGCTTCAGACTTACTTCTGGAGTGATGAACTTTTCATAGACGGAGCCCAGTTTGTCTCTGAAATCATAGACGTATTCTTCTACAGCGTTTTTAGCATCATTTCTTTCTTTCTCTAACTTATCCTGCATTATCATCTTGCCCTAGTCAAAAAGTTTCAGATTGTCATAAAATATGCATTAGAGAACTGTTAGTTAAAACTATGACACCACTTCATACCTTGTAAGAGGAGCCTATTACAACAACAAGTAAGGATCTTAGGACTGTAGAGACTATAGAGAAACTGAACTGGTGGAAAAAAATACTCTACAGCTGTGGACCACAGGAACAGTGTGAAGGTTCCTCAAAAATATATATACTATATATATTCTATATATATACCACTTGTAGTGACATATGCCTTTAATTCCAGCACTTGGGAGGCAAAGGGAAGCAGATCTCTGAGTCCGAGGCCAGAAAATTCCCTACTCCTGAGTATATACCCAAATGAATGGAAATAGATATCTGTATGCTAGCATTTAGTGAGCCATTATTAATTATCACAAGAAGTATAAATGGTGTTGCATTAGGAGCGGCAGGGCTGCGTCCCCGGCACCAGGCTGCCCGCATGTCTAGCTTATGCCCAGAAATAATTACACGGAAATTGTATTCTTTTAAACACTGCCTGACCCATTAGTTCCAGCCTCTTATTGGCTAGCTCTTACATATTGTTCTAACCCATTTCTAATATTCTGTGTAGCCCACGAGGTGGCTTACCAGGGAGGATCTTAACCTGCGTCTGTCTGGAGTGGGAGAACCATGGTGACTCCCTGATCCAGCCTCCCTTTCCCAGCATTCTCTTCTGTTTACTCCACCCACCTATGTTCTAACCAATAAAATGGGCCAAGGCAGTTTCTTTATTATAATTAACCAATGTCCTTCCTCCATCAAAATGGAAACACCCATTAACTGATGAATGGATAAATGATATGTGTACACATACAACAGAACTATGAGGCTTAGAAAGGAAGTTCTATATATATGTGAACCCCAAGATCATGCCTAGTAAAACAATCTAGGCAGAAATGGACAAGTATTATCTGCTTCAATTTATGACAGCTGTCTAAACAAGGCAGATTCTTTTTTTTTTTTCGAGACAAGGTTTCTCTGTAAGCTTTTTTGGAGCCTGTCCTGGAACTAGGTCTTGTAAACCAGGCTGGCCTCAAATTCACTGAGATCTGTCTGTCTCTGCCTTCCAAGTGCTGGGATTAAAGGCGCCATAACCACCCAGCAACAAGGCAGAATTCTTAGGAGACAGGAAATAGAAGAGTGTTCAATGAGAACTGAGAGAAGGAAGGAGTAGAAAGTTTGAATTCCATGCTACAATATTTCCTTTTGGGACAGTTAAAAGCTTTGGAAATAGTGTTGATGGTTGTATAATACCAAATGTGATAGTTATTAACACTGTATACTTGAAAATGGTTTTAAGATGTCAAAATTTAAACTACAAGTATTTAAAAAGTAATAATATATCTTCTAACCACTGATTTGTATGCTTTGAGTGAATGTATTATATGGTATGTGACTTACACCTCAGTAACAACATTTGAACACATTTATACATGTCTCAATTCCAGCATCCCCATTTACTAGCTGGGGACAGCAAAAGTCATCTACTCTGTGTGCATGTTACATTGGTACCCTAAGTGATTAATTCCACATGGCTGTGAGTAAGACCTATCACATACAGTATCTTCCTCTACACGTGATGCACTACCATTGGTCAGGGATAGATTAACAGTGGTTGTGATGCTGAGCTTTGGAAACTGATGACCTAAATCCAAATATGAACGTTATTATCTAACTGGGGTAGCATATTGCACACAGACTTCAGTTTTCTTGTCTGTAAGCTAAGCCCTTAACAGGACCTACGGGTTATGTTTATTTTGAGAACCTAAAAGATGTTAGCAAGAACTATTATGACCAAAACCAAGGAAAGAATGCAATTATAATTCTTGAACAAAATTTTCGCTTAAAAGCACCTGGTTTTCTAAACACAAGGATTCCTTGACAAGCTGTAATACAATGACCTAGATTTAGAAAGAGACATTTAAAAAAATTAATGAAAGTCTCATTTTGTACATAAACCTACTATGGTTTCCTAAAGTAGTTCCTTTGGAAAAATTAGACTATAAACATATACATTCTGAGTATTATATGAGTTCTTCAGGAATTACTATGCATGAATAGATCCTTGTTAATAAATAGGTATTATGCATTGGTACTTTAAAAAAGAAGCCTTATAAAAATCAAAATCTCTTCATGTAATGATGGACAGTAAATAGTTGAAAGCAACATGCTTCAAACACTGAGCTAATGTCTATAGATATTAGGAACCACCATTTCAGTATAAAATTAGAGGACAAATACAATCACTTCATACAATTACTGCTAAAGAAAAAATTCACTTCCAAGAGACTGGAACTCTAAATGAAAATAGACAAGGGCATGTAAGAAAATGTTAATAAGGACAACTGTTTGCAAATCATTAATCAACACTCTGAACACATTTAAGAGAGGGGTTTGCTAGGCCAGTGGTGATGCTACATGCCTGGGATCTCAAAACTCAGAAGGTGGAGGAAGAGTCAGGTCCGCCTAGGCTATACAGAAAGATCCTGCCTCAACATCTCTTTAAAATGAAACACAAAGAATCCAAACCAAGCCAAAACAAAAATTGGGATGTTTCTATTTTATGATTGTAAGAATAAAGGAGGGACTGAGTGGTGCAAATGTTTATAAATCCAGCACGGAGGAGGTAGAGGCAGGAGGGCCAGGACTTGAGGTTATCCTTAATTACATGATGAATCTGAGGCTACAGGAACCCCGATTTTTAAAAAGGGTGGTGGTGGTTATGAAATCAGTCTCAGAAAGGTTTTTCTCTATAATAGATACCGGTTTTCATATAATTAAGAAGAAAGTACTATGTACAAATACAGTTTATTAGTTTGATAATGTTATAATTCCTTAATAATTGCAGACAGACTGCTGAGCTTTTAACCTCTGACTTCAATATAAGTATCAGAATGCATTAGCAATTATTCAACAGCAACTCCAACTTATATACCTCATTTTCAATGTAGCTATTGAGAAGATCTTGGGTCAGTTGTCTGTACAGGCTACTCTGAATGGGTAGATCAATACTCTTGACTTTGCCTTTTTTAATAGTCTGATTTATGCGGTCTTGCTTGTCTGAAGAAAGTGACTAGAAAAGAAAACAAAATCAAAAGTGAAATTCTCTAAAACCAACAAATTTTAGAATTGAAACAAAAAGAGTAAAGCCAAACATAAAAACTAATACTGATAACCTTTTTATTCTGGTTAATTCTAAATCCTTTCTACATTTGGAATACAGACTTGGAAATCTAAAGCTGTAATGAACAACCACTTCACATACAATACTATGGTTATAATTCATGACAAAGGAAACAAATAAGGTAAGGGTATGGAGAAATTGGAACCTTTCTTATAAACTGTTGGTGGCATTATAAACTTTACAGTAATTGTTGCCAGATTTTAAAATATCTGAACTATTGAAATGGTTTATGGGGTACTTGCTGCTAAGCCTGACAACCTGAATACGATCTCTAGGACCCACATGCAAGTTGTTCTTTGACTTCAACACAGGAGCTGTGGCATATATGTACACATACGCACACAAAGTTAGTCGAGAGGTTCTTCAAATGTTAAAACACTTAAATATTATTATGATTAGCAATTCCAATGCTAAGTAAGTGTCCAAGAAAATGAAAATATACAGGGAAAAGTCGTCAAAAGTAACATTCTTAATAGGAAAACTATGTTGGAAATGTTTATCATTAGTAAACAGGAAATCAGAATGTGGAATGCAGTGATACAATGCATTAATAGACCATAACTAGAAATGGAATAATAACTCATCACTAAGCTGAACTTTGAAGCCATGCTTAATGTAAGAGGCAGCTTTAAGGGCCTTTATCTAAAATTTCCAAAATAGGCAAGTCTGTAGAGATGAAGTAGGCTAATGGTTGCCTATGTCTGGAAAGGGGAGAATGTAGAGAAAGGGAGAGTTGTAGCTCATGAGTACATGACTGTTTTAGGGCAAAAAGAAATCTCTAAAATTGTGATGATGCAGGTGTGAGAACCCACTACTAACCTGTGCACTAAATGGGAGAACTCTGTGATGTACCAGGTATACTTCAAACTCAATTCTGAGTAAAATGAGAATGTTAGAAAACAGGTTTCAGGTTTTTTTTTTTTTTATTTTTCAAGACAGGGTTTCTCCGTAGCTTTTGGTTCCTGTCCTGGAACTAGCTCTTGTAGCCCAGGCTGGCCTCGAACTCACAGAGATCTGCCTGCCTCTGCCTCCTGAGTGCTGGGATTAAAGGCGTGCGCCACCACCGCCCGGCTCAAGGTTTCAGGTTTTGAATAATTTTATAATCTAGAATTTAAAACCTCTAAGGAAAAGAATCATACAGCTATGCTATGACATAAACTAATCAGTTATTATTATTATTATTATCATTGTTTTGAGACAAGGTTTCTCTGTTTAACAGCCCTAGTTGTCCTGGAACTAGCTCTTGTAGACCAGGCTTGCCTCAAACTCACAGAGATCTGCCTGCTTCTGTCTCCCAAGTGCTAGGATTAAAGGCATGTGCCCAGCTTCAAATTATTATTTTTTAAAATTGCATTTTTATCATTTTTAATTATGAATATGCATGTGTATCTGTGTGTAGGTTTGTGCATGTGAGTGCAGGTACCTGCAATGGAAAGAAGAGGACATTGGGCCCATGCAGCTTTGCAGGCCATTGTGAGTCACTGAACATGACTGCCAGGAAGCAAACTCAGGTCCTCTGGAAGTACAGTAAGCACTCTTAACCAATGAACTATCTCCCCAACCCTATTATCTTATTCAGAGACTTGAATGAAGGTAGGGAGGCCTAAGAAGTCAATGGGATCTGATGCTCTGAGGACAAGAGACATGGAAAGTGATAAGATGTAAAGCTCATCAGCCCATCACCTCCCTGCTACCACCAACCACCACAGCTGGCTCAGATACATTAAAATAATTTTAGCTGAGTATGGTGGCACATGTCATTAATTCCAGCACTCTAGAAAGCAGAGGTGGAGGTGGAGGCAGAGGCAGGCAGATCTGAGTCTAAGGCCAGCCTGCTCAATCTACACAATGAATTCCAGGTTGGCTAGGGAATGGGGAGACATTGTCTTCTATTCCCCAAAGAATTTTTAATTATGTAATTTTTAATTACGACGTGACCAAAATTCGATGCAGAACATTATACACTTAAATTCATTTGAAATTATTCCATTTCTCCAAGTCTATGTAATTTCTAGTGAAAAGAAATGTTATTAAAACATTTTTTCCCTGTCAAAAGATAATTTTACTTATGTTTCTATATTTTAAAAGCTTTTAAGTACAACTCTGAAAGGTAGGTATTTTGGTTGTAAACTTCCTATGCTTCTCCGTAGCACTGCAGTTTGAACTACGCATGCACTAAACAGACCAGCTAGGCCCCTCATTTCATCTCATCTCAGCCGGGTATGATAGGTTCTGCAGGCCTGTGACTCAACTCTTGGGAGGCTGCAGAGGGAGGGAGCACCATAAGTGTGAGACAGTTCTGCATTACATAGCAGACCTTGTCTAAAACAGACACACCCAGACAAGCAGACACAAAATCCAAACCTGACAAAAGCTCCAAACACAATCACAGAGCAGGAAAGCAAACCTTTGTCTTGGCTCCAGTGTGGTCAATTTCCTCTTCTGGGGTGTGCTCAGCATGACATTTTTGATGACCTCCTTCTTCTTGGTCAACCTGCATTTTGTCCTGGCAAAATATATAATGGATGGAACAGTCCTTTTCTAGTGAAAAGCACAGCCTTACTCCTGTGTTGAGATGTGGGTGCATACCTAAGCAGCTCCCTTTTCAAACGATACTAACAATGAACAGTTAACACCTATAAATGAAAAGGTCAGCTTGAAGATTCTCATTCACTTTTTTGACTAAAAATTTGTAAAGAATACAGACAACTATTCTCAAACCGGTAAGTCAGAATTCATAAAATTAAGCTTTAAAACAACTTGACATTAAAATATTACAGAGATGATCTTAGTTCAATGGAAATGCAGTGAAAAAGATGAGCCTCAACCACACAATTCACTTACATATTTCTAACTTTTTTATACAGTTTCCCCTACCTCATCTCCTCCCAGATCCCCCTCCACCTTCCCACACTTCTAACTCCACGCCCTCTTTATGTTACCATTTTTAAATGTAGAAAATACCAACATTAACCAAAACTTAGATGTCTCTGGAGCACTCAGATATAAACCATCAAATGGGCTGTCCACTTGGCAAGCAATCCTAAACAAGATATATTGTTTACTCTTTCTCATCACACTCCCCACCATCCTCTTGAAAGAAGCAGATAACAATGTAGGAATCATTGTATGTTTTGCTGTATCTGGACTTGAGTGAACATGTACTTCACAGTTAGCTTTCTTGAATAAATAAATGCATAGTTTTGTCAAAGAGAAAACCAGGCTAAATTATTATCTCTCTGCCTCTGGGAGTTTGACCCGGGGGCTTTGTGCATGCTCACTGGACAAGAGCTCTACCTCTGAACTATAGTCCCAGTCCTCAGGATGTTATATTTTATATTCCAGTTCTTCCCTTATAACTCTACAACCTCCCACATCATGACAAGAGGTAAGAAATGCAGAGTTGTGGTCACAGAGAAGCATAATGTAAATAGTAAAAGAAACAAAGTAAAGAAAAAGATGTTGTTGGTGCTCTGTGCCTCCTACTTGGGGATCAAGATGAGATCTCAGCTGTCAATGCCACCATGCCTTTGCTCTGCTACCATGGACGCTAATCCTCTGAATCTGTAAGCCCAATTAAATGCTTTCTTTATTAAAACAAAGAAAAGAAAAAAGGGTGTGGTAGAGTGATTGCTTAGGGTTTTATATCCTGCAAAGATAAATAATTTAGTAAACAAAATTAAAATAATTATAAATTGCTTTCAAGTAAATGATCACAATGCTGTACCAGAATTTTTATTTTAAAGAAAGAACTTTTCATTATTATGATGTTAATTTATTAAAAGTTATTTTTTTGGTGTGTGGATAATTTAACATTTCCTTTACCTTAATTTAATTAACAAAATGCTACATGGAGACAGTCCTGCCCTGCTAAAAAAGGTACTGAGTCATGTAATTAGCATAGATAAGAATAATGGGTTAATATAAGTTATAAGAACTAATATGAAGCCTGAGCTAATGGGCCAATCAGTTTATCATAAATATAGACCTCTGTGTAATTTCTTTGGGGCTTACCGGCTGTTGGAACTGGGCAGGACAGAAACCCCAACAAGCAGGCCCACATGTTATAAATGGCACCCACGTGAACAACTGCATCCACATAAAACCTGAGAGAGCTTGGAAAGTAATTCTAGACAGAAAAAAATAAAGCATGGCTTCTTGGTAGCAGCAATTTCTAGGATCTGCTCTGTTTGTTAGAGGAAAGTGCTCTCATTTAAGAGAGGCTTCCTGACTCAGTTTTAGCTGCAAAATCCTGCAGCTCTTTAAGAAGTCCTGCCATGAAACACTTAAATGGTGTGGATAAAAGCTGACTGCATGCTTTTTGGTTTTCAGCTGTACCAGGAAAAAAGCTGCATCATTTTGAAATGCTGGCTTTTTGGGCCATCCTGCCAGTGCAAATTCTGACTCTTTCAGGCAGGCAGTCTGACTACAGAGCATTTGAGTGTGGTTTGTGAGCACACTGCTGCAGCTTGCTTGCTGGCAGGGATCTTGAAATGCCATAGAGTTGTGGCAATAAATGTGGCTACAGCCGGTACCTCTGCCATGAGGCTGAAATCTCAGAAAACTAAGTAATGGGCTGGATCCAGCCGTCAAAGCCACAGCTTTAATCCTCTCTATATTGCTTAGCAAATTAAAGACTCCTGTGATCATAAAAAGAGAGAGATATACAGTAAAGAGAGATTCAAAGACAAAGAAACCCTCTAAATGGTTTACATTGTGTTAAAAATATATACAAGCTTGGGAGAGTAAAGAAAGAGGTTAAAGTTCTCAAAATAAAAAAGAAAGAGGTGGTACATGCCTTTAATCCCAACACTTGGTAGACAGAGGCAGACAAACCTCTGTGAGTTCAAGGCATGGTGGCACACGTACTTAATCCCAATGCTTGGGAGGTAGATAGACCTCTGTGAATTCAAGGTGTGGTGGTGCACACCTTTAATCCTAGCACTTGGGGGGCAGATGCAGGTGGATCTCTGTGAGTTCAAAGACAGCCTGGTCTACAGAGGGAGTTCCAGGACAGCCAAAGATATACAGAGAACTTGTCTCAAAAAGTAAAAGTAAAAATAAAAGAAATAGAGGTTAAAGTAAAATCACACAAAGATGGAAAATACATAGAGAATCTGGATACTGTATGTTATTATGCTCTCTTTGAATTGTTTGAATGCTGAGGAAAGAGCAACAGCTGCTAAAAGATATTTGCTTATAAATGCTGCTGAATTAATCCAGGATAGGTATTTTGAAAATACCTTGACTTCCAAATTGAAGTCAAAAGGTATGTTACTTTGGAAAAGAGATTTTGCTTTTGTTTTCACAGGAAATGAGAGGCTATGGATTCATTCTGAGTTAATAATAATCAGGTTTGATCAAGGAAAACCACCCAAGAAATCTCTGGTAGGAACAGATGGTCCAGATGTCAGAGTTCTACATCCAGAACATAACAGGTTCAAGACTGCTGCCTGAGATGATAAAGACTCACAGGATACTCCAGTCAGGACTTGTTCATAATTCAAAATTTTCTTTAGGTCCCCATAAGATTATTAGCACCCCCAACCAGCAGGAAGTAGCCTGGAATACTATGCACACATTCCCCCAAAATGGACTATTTTCCTTTGTTAAAAAAAAAAGAGGGAGAAGTGGTGTGGGACAATTCTATATTCTGTCAATTATGCTTTAAACAAACACTGATTGGCCAGTAGCCAGGCAGGAAGTATGGGTGGGACAACCAGACAGGAAGTACAGGCAGGTTAATGAGATCAGAAGAATTCTGGGAAGGAGGAAGCCCATTCCTCTGCAGTCCTGCCCAGACACTAAAGAAGCAGAATGTGACCTACCCTGCTGAAAAAGGTACCAAGCCATGTGGCTAACATAGATAAGAATTTAAGTTACAAGAGCTAATATAAGTTATAAGAGCTAATATAAGTTATAAGAGCTAATACAAAGCCAATCAGTTTATCATTAAAAAAATGCTACACGGGAAAATAGCATGGGCCATAATTCATATATTTTAAGCTAACAGAACACTTTTGATCAATCAAGAAGAAAGGATAAAAACAGGTCACTTCCAAAGAAGGGGAAAATTGTCCTGTAAAAATATAACTACTCCTCCTTTTGAAATGGGTCCTTCCTAATGTCCCTCAGGTATGGGTTTAAGCAACCTTTCCACTTCAGCTTCCAAAGTAGCTAGTGGTACCCCCTACTATTTCTTCTTGGAGACCTTCCTCAATAGTTTAAAAACACTTTTATTATTTTGTATGTCTAAGTGTTTTGCCTGCATGATGTATGTGCACAACTTGCGTGTCTTGTACTTAAGGAGGCTAGAAGAGGACATGGGCTCCTCTAAAACTGGAGTTATAGAGAGGTGTAAAATTGCCCTGTGTGTGCTGGAAATGAACTTGGTTTTTCTGGAAGAGTGGCCAATGTTCACCCACTGAGCCATCTCTCCAGCTCTCAGCCCACATTTTCTTTTAAGAAAAAAATTAAGTGAAGCTCTTCTTCTGTAGTCAAGGCCAATTTTAAGCTTTCTGCAAAATTCCTTTTCCTGAGTGCCATTGCCAGGATTATAAGCATAAACTACCCACTGTGTGTATGTGTGTGTTTGTGCATGCGCGTGCACATACTTTTAGTTGGAGGTATCATTCCTCTGGCACCACTTACTTAAAAAAAAAAAAAAAAACACCAGGGTTTCTCACTGGATTCAATTCAACAAGTAGGCTAGGCTAGGTGGCAAGGCCTAAATTCATTCTGTCTTTCCTCTCCAGACTAATCCAGTACCATCAAGCTCAGCTTTTAAAATCTGGGTTCTGGGTTTGAACACAGGTCTTCATGTTGTAAGAAGCATGTACCAACCCAGCCCTGAAAACCCATTCTTGAATGAACAAATATAGAGAAGGACTTGGGAGTTCCTCCAAATGTGGCTAAAAAAACTGATAAATGCAATTGACAATAAAATACAGATTGTGCACATAAAAAGGTTAACTTTTTCTGTAAGTGAATAGAACCAAGCTCCCCCTGAGCTGAGCACAGAGACAAGTGTGCACACCTGTAATTCTAGCAGTCTAGACGTAGAAGCAGGAGGATCAGGACTTCATCTGGTCTCACCTACATAGAGAGTTTAAGGACAGTCCGAGTACCATGAGAATTTGTCTCACAGTTCCCTAAAACTCTTTCCTCTACAGTGCACCAGCAGTGAATTCAATGTCTCATAAATCTTTCATAATGTACAGCAATTGCATTTGAATGTCACTGGAGACACAGCATATCCCTTTGTTTAAATGACACAGATGTTTTACAATAAACCCTAAAATATTTTAAGAAGCACGCCTTTAATCCCACAATGCCAGGAGGCAGAGACAGGTGGATATCTATGAATTTGAGGACACTTGGTCTACAAAGTGAGACTCTGTCTACAAAGAACAACAAAAATATGTGTTTAGTTTAAAAGTTACTCCTAGTTTTATCTAGCTATACATATGCATGTTTTAAAGAATTTAACAATGGATTTCAAAACTTACATGTTCCATATAAGCTAGGAAAGATGCCTTGGCCCCTGTGAAGTGCATTACAAGATATGGTGTAGACCATTCCTTAAACCAAGTCTTCATTAGTATGGTTATAAAGATGAGGCCCTACAGAAGAAACCCCAAGGCTAACCTTGGGAAAGAAGGTACTCATCACTGGGGTGCTGTCATGATCCCAGGGGAGAGGAAGCTGGGACAAGAGTTCTACTTACTGCATCATCTTTGTTTTCAGTCTTAGATGAAGCTTCTGTTTCCATTGGGGCCTCATTGTGATCACCTTCCAGATTCTGCTTCTCAACCACTGATGCACTGGCCACACTGAAGATTCCATGGATGTTAATACGAACTTTAACTTTTACCTTAGAACTATCACCATCAGACTGTGGGAAAACATTCTGAATAGTGAAGTTTCCTTAGGGAGAAAAAAGCTTTGATTAGTGTATGAACATCAATCAAACTCATTTAGGGTTTTAATAACTTAATCATCATCTTTAAGGCACACATAAAAATATGATTAAATTCTGGATGATCGCTATGGAACAAGTGCTGTGATCAGATTACTCTCTTTGCAGTATTAGCAAAGCTGCTGTGAAGACTCACACAGTCAGTAGTTTTCTAGGAAAAAGGTGATGTTACTATTTACATATTTATCATGTGCACGTGCACACACACACATATGCCACCATGTGTGTGGAGGTCAGAGACAACTTTCAGGAACTCTTCTTCTACCGTGGGAGTCTTCTGGGAGACTAAACACAGGTCATCAGGCTTGGTGGCAAGTGCCTTTATCACACTGAGCTATCTTGCCAAAGCAAGAACTAGCATTTTAAACTAAGGACAATTTGATTTGATTCAAAAGCCAGTAAATGATTTAAGTAACTTATAATCAAAAGCCAAAATAACAAGATCTAATTTCTGAATTAAAAACTATATATATATGTATAAGCTTTGCTATAATTTTTATAAGTAATCATTATTGCTCATGAATAAAGCACTTCCAAACATTAAATATAAATTCTCCTATGCCCAAATTAGTGGTATCAGCTAAAGAGAGACTAATAGGCCAAAAGTTAAGACAGGCCAGTGAACAAGTATGACTAACATCTTTACTGGCTATGTCGTTCCCCAACGTTCATTCTATGTTCCAAGCAGTACTTCACAAACTGATAGACAGTATTGGTAGATAGGTTTTTATTTCTGTTTTTGCCTTGTTTTTTTTTTTAAGGAGTATTAAATTGAAGACTGGTTTCCTTATCAAAGGAGATAATTAGACAAAGTCCTATACACCCATATGAGAATGCCATGTGACTGTGAAGATGGTAACTACAAAACAAGGAAAGGGACCTTGAGTAGACTCTTCCTTTACAGCCCTTTCTTTTTAAGACAAGTCAGTGCAGCAGTGAGAAGAGGGGAAATGAAGACCAGGAGTTCAATCTGCAACTGACTGGGATAACTCACTACCTTCGGGCCAGCCAGAAACACAGTTTCTACAGCTCAGTTCAGAGCTCTCACTCCCAGTGAGAACTATAAACATCTGTTGCTGAGGCCATCTAGCTGGTGGACCTGTAGCAGTCATAAAGACTAGTATAACTTGCAGCAACTTCTATTGCTTTGGTAATTACTTCCAAAGTTTATAGAAAAAAATAAAAATTTCTTTTAAATATTATAAAAATCATGTTTTGTATCTTATCATTTAAACACAGACATTATAATTCGCTATTTGCTCTTCCATATCACTCAACAATACAGTTTCAGAGTTACACAGTCATGTTAATAATACAAATACAATTTGCCTAAAAGTATTTTCCATTAGACAACCTTGACCCAATTTTCCAGGCCAATTTTAGAACACCTAGCATACAGAGTCAATGGAAACAGAAGTAGGACTACTTGGGGAGAGAACGAGGAGTGGCAGAGAGAGAAGAGAGGATAACAAGGGTGCACATGCTCAAAGCACACTGCATGTATGCATACACACACCAAGAGGAAAATGTCATAATGAAACCCATCATCTTGTGCAAACAACGCACTAATAAAAATATAGAAGCCAAAACAAATTAGGACTATTTAAAGATGCTATTTTTCTAGAAATAAACTAAGCATGAAAAAGCTCATAGTTACAAAAAAGCACAAATTTCTTTAAAATCTGGACTAATTTAAATGAAAAGTTAATTTTGCTTACTTAATTCTATATATTATCTATCTGTCTGTCTGTCTGTCTATCTATCTATCTATCTATCTATCTATCTATCTATCTATCTATCTATCTAATTTTGTTGTTTTTTGAGACAGAGCTTCTTTGTGTAACCTTGGTTGACCTGGAACTAGTTCTGTATACAAAACTGGCCTTGAACTCAGAGATCCATCTGCCTCTGCTTCCCAAGTGCTGGGGTTAAAGGCATGAGCCACCACACCTAGGTATAAATTGTTTATTAAATGCTTAAAAACTTAAATTTTTTGTTGTCTTACCAATTCTTGGATCAGGATAAGGCACTTCATGCAAATTAGTATAAAATGCTTCTAGTTCAAACGGTTCCTTCTTGTGGAAAGTTATGACCTTTGAGAATGGGGCAGGATGGTTCTTAGAGAAGACTTCACATTCCCTAAAGTGCAGCAGAAAAGACACTTAAACAGGTTGCCTGGGAACCCAATGTCAGAATATACTTCACTCTTAATTCATGAGCAGCAATTGCAAAGAAGAACATATGTAAGGAAAAACGCCTATGGATTTTTTTCTATTTTCAACAAGTTTACAGATGAAGGCTTTTCAGAATGTCTAACATAATTGATCGCTGTACACTAAGAGAAAAAAACTGAGAATATGCATATTGTGAGGTCACATGTAGGAAGGACAAGGCAAACACTTGACCATATGCAGCCCTTTGAATTACAGCTCGCATTAAGTACTCTTCTTTGGAAATAAACTTACAGAAGGATACAGATATAGAACAGTACAAAGAGTGTCTGTGTGTCAGGCACGTAGACTTTCTACTGTCCTTTGCCTTGTCTTGTCATTTGAATGCACATGTTATATCTGTGCATTTTTACTAAACAGCCTGAAAGTGACATGCTTATGTTATTATTGCAAATACTCCAGTATGTACTTCCTAAAACAGAAAGTCTCTCAAGTTTTAATCATATTCCAGTTGTTCATCTTATGCCTGTTTATAGTGTTTTCTTCCACCTAGAGCAGGAAGTTTTAAACTTGTAGTGATCTCTATTTCTTAAAGAACGTAACAGGAATGCTTATGACTATTGTTTATGGGTGTTTATTATATAACATCATGGTACCACTTCAGTCACTCAAGGACTTCAAATACACAAATGAAACTTGTCTTCCTAGCTTTCAGGAGCCTACTAATGCTTTCCCTGTTCTTCCTGTGCTCACTACCGCATATGCTTTTAAGCTTAGCTCTCTCTATATCTTGAGAGTTTTCTTACTTACATAGTTAACTGAAGCTGAACTCTACAGAGACATTCTTGACTTAAACTAAGATTAAAGCAGCCATCCAAATACTCTGCAAGGCATTCATATAAAGTTGTGTCTTTGTTAGGGTTTCTACTGCTGTGGTGAAACATGACAAAAGCAAAGTTGGGGAACAAAGGGTTTATCCAGCTTACACTTCCACATCAGTTTATCATCAAAAAAGTCAGGACAGAAACTCAAGCACTTCAGGAACCTCGAGGCAGGAGGGGTGCTGCTTAGTGGCTCGCACAGGGCTTGTTCAGTCTACTATATAATGGAATCCAAGATCACCAGCCCAGGGAAGACACCACCCACAATGGGTTGGGCCCTTCCGCATCAATCTCTAACTAAGAAAATGCTCTATAGGCTGGCCACAGCCTGATCTTATGGAGGCATTTTCTCGATTGAAGTTCCATCCTCTCAGATGACTGCAGTGTATGTCAAGCTGACATGAATCTAGCCAGCACAGGTTGGTAGTCTGTATTTTTGAAATTTATACAAGCAGTTCAGTTTCTATCGATAATGACATACAGAACACAGAACAAAAGCAAGTTCACAATGTAGATACAATTTTGTACATTGTATAAGCCATTTCTAAAAGAGAGGCAAGTAAAATATAATTTTTTTTAATTTGGTAGGGAAGCAAGCTACTTACATGTTGGCCAATTTACAGAAACAACGTAAATGTCAACAAAAGCACAAAATATAATTTATATTATATTCTTAATATATAATAAAATATTTTATTATAAATAAAAACATTTTTATTACATAGTAATAAAAGAATTATTTGTTTTCTCATTTTAGACAAGGTCTCCTGAAGCCCATGCTGGCCTTCAATGTTCTATGTTGCTGAGTACACTGAACTTTGATCCTCCTTTTTCCATCACCTGAGTGGTAGGATTACAGGATGCTCCAGCACACTGTCTATTTGTGTGGTAATGAAGACGGAACCCATGAGTTTGTACATGCCAGACACATGCTCTACAACTGAGTCATAGTATCAGGGAGAAAAAAATAGCAATTGTTTTTGTTTACAATAATCATGTTAAATTTAATAGTATAGGAGAAAACTGAATAAAATATATGTAATCTTGTGTTAATAGCAATGTAAAGAATCTTTTTAGATATTATACAAAACACTAATTTGCTAGTTTGAGACAAAACGGGTACTTATGCTCTGGCTAAGCAATTCTACTCTGCTATTTTATAGATATAGCAAACATACCTAAACATTGTTATATGTATACCAATGTTTCTAAACACCACTAAAAACAGCAAAATGTAATTTTCCTAGTGCTTTGGTGATTTACGATGGCATATTCAACTGTTGCAGTAGTCACTGTCTGCTGTCATGGGAAAGTCCTATGTAGTATCTTTTTCAAAAGCAAATTGTACTGGAGGCTCCACAGATGATTTATGTACTTTGTTTATGAAGACTCAAAGAACAGGTATGGACAGATACAATAGCTGCTAAAAATGGCTAATGTGAATTAACAAATATGCCCATCATGGTTTGTACGTTATTTTTATAGTCTTTTTTCTCTAATACTATTCCACACATTTAACAATTTTTTAAATTACTTATTTGCATTTTATGTTACACTGATGTTTTGACTGCATATATGTCTGTGTGAGGTTGTTGGATCCCCTGGAACAGGAGCTACAGACAGTTGTGAGATGCCATGTGGTTGCTGGGAATTGAATCTGGGTCCTCTAGAAGAGCAGTCAGTGCTCTTAACCACTGAGCCATCTCTCCAGACCCACATTTAACAAAATTCTAAGAAGCCCAAATTCCTTTAAGTTAGAAAAAGCATATTTGATTGCTTGAATATTTATGATAAAATATAATTAATATTTTAAAAATAACTTACCCAGTACCTTCTTCAAAAGAAGTCTTCCACCTTAATGTGACTGAATAGGGAACAAGGTCTGTTATGGAAAATTCCCGCACTTTAAATGCTGGTGAGAGGATTGCACACTGAAAGTAAGAAATGCACTTAAATGAGTAAGTACATATCACATTCTAGGTTAACCATAATTAAATTGCTTACTAATGTCTTTATAGTAAAAATTGTTAAGATTTTAAAATTTGTTACATTTTAGTAATGACAAAAGAAAATTTAAAGGGTCCATGTATTTTGTGTGATGTTACAAAAGCTAATCTAAGAACAGTTTTAAATTTCCAAAAAAAATTATTAATGTACATAATCTCAAGAATTCAGTTTTTAGTACATAAATATATTATTGTATTATAGTTTAAAAGTACAAGAGAAATCAGGCATGATGGTGCATGCCTTTAATCCCAGCACTTCTGTGGCTGAGGTAGGTACACACACACACACAAGCACACACACACACACACACACACACAAAGCATATGTGACCGGGGAGGAGAGAAAGAGAGATACAGAGATACAGAGACAGACAGAAAGATAGACTTACAAGGACTACTTCAGTTTTCTTTCAGCATACTGATGGGAGGATTGTACAAACTACATACTAAGTAGTTCTAACCTGCAAAGCACATCCTCTGGCGACAGCTTCATCAGCATTTAGGGTAGTGCTGATGTCTTTCAGAAAGAACCTAGTGACCTGCTCCTTGACTGCAGGAATCCGAGTAGCCCCTCCTACTATTTCTATGCTGTTTATGTCTTCACGTTGTAAGTCTGGAAGTAAAACATATTTCAGTGAAAGAATGAGAAGTCTTCAAAACTTGTACATACTAGTTGTTAGAACATACTTTATATGTAAGTGGATTTTTTTTTATGTGCTCACAAGAAGGTTAAAAAAACCCCAGTAATTATGGAAAAGGCAAACTCTAACACTGTGTGTGTGACACTACTGTGGTCCAGATATCAGCGACAACAAGGACACAACTCACAAGCTTTGAAGCTCTCCAGCGGTTACCACCTTTCTAATTTCCACTTCTAACTTTACTAAAACTAGTCTAAAAGTTATCTTCAAGACAGCAATTACACCCTGATTTCTAATTTAATGTCCTACTAAAGTCTTCCGTAATCACTTAAATATCCCAAAATATAGTTAGCTTGTTTATGATATAAACAATATTATAAGCAAGGAAATGCTCAGAAAGCAGGAATTCTAGTGTCTTGTTCTACGAGTAATAAATTGTAATTTCTTTTTAAAAATGAAAAACACAAAACTTTTAATGAACTTGGTCATTTCCACTTACTAGCTTGGTCCATTACTGCTTTTAAAGGTGGTTCAACCCTGGCCAAGAGGGAAGCACACAACTGTTCAAACTGAGCCCTGTAGAAAATGAAATAAAAATCATTTGGGGGAAGAAAAGTTGAAGACACCCTCTAAAACAACAGAACTAGGGAAAATCCCAACATGACCCAAAGGGAAAATCAGCAAGTGCTCTTCCAAGTGAACACACGATACCTGTTCATCTTACTAGAAACATCCAGGTCATTCATGAAGCACTCGATGTTCAAAGGAAGATCTGATGCATTTGCACTCATCAGCTTCTTCAACTTCTCACACTCCTGATACAGCCGCAACAAAGCCCGAGAGTTCTCCTTGACATTGATCTTATATTTGGTCTTGAATTCATCACAAAAGTAGTCCACTAAAGCCTCATCAAAGTTCCTGCCACCCAGATATGGGTCAAAGGTGGTAGCCAACACCTGTTTAGTTGAAAGAAAATAATTAAGTTTTCCAATATACAGTGTCTTGGTTACTTTTTTATTGCTGACAAAACACCATGAACAAGACACCTTATAAAAGAAAACATTTAATTTTGGGCTTATAGTTTCAGAGGATGAGTTCATGATCATCAAGGCAGGAAGCATGGCAGCAGGCAAACAGGTACAGCAGAGGCTGAGGTATTTTATCTTGAGACACACCACAAGACAGAGAGAGCTGACAGTGACACACCTCCTCCAACAAGGCCTCACCTCCCACTCCTTCAATCAACTGACAAGTATGCAAACATTGAAGTCTATGGTGCTGTTTTCATTCAAACCACAGCATTCCATTTCCTAGACCCTATAGGCTTCTGGCTATATCATAAAGCAAAATACATTTGATCCAACATCAAAAGTCCCCTAGTTTTTTACAGTTTAAAAGTCCCAAGTCTCTTCTGAGACTCAAGGCAATCTCTTAATTGTAACCCCCTGTAAAATAAAAAGCAAATTACATACTTCCAAAAAACAGTGGCACAGAATATATATTGCCATTCTAAAAGGGAGACATAGTAAGGAAATACTGAACGAAAGCAGGAACAAAATACATCAGAGCAATCTCCAAATCCTATAAGTCGACATCTCATATCAAAGTACATAGATGGCTCTGCCCTTTCAGCTTTCTCTTTCTTAGGCTGCTTCCACTCTGTGTGAAGCTCTCGCTAGGAGAGGGTTAGAGCCTATAACCATCATGGCAAGGACCATGGCTGCATGTAGGCAGGCATGGCATTAGAGCAGTTGCTGGGAATTTACATTCTGACTCACAAACAAACATAAGGGAGGGAAGGAGGGAGGGAGGGAGAATGTGAGAGGAGCACAAATTGGGAATGGCATAGGCTTTTGAAACCTCAAAGCCCACCCTCAGTGACTTCCTCCAACAAAGCCACACCTCCTAATCCTTCCCAAACAGTTCTACCAACTGGAGATCAAGCATTTAAACAATAAGCCTCTGAGAGCCATTTGTATTCAAACCACCACAAACAAAAAGAAAACCAAAAGCCAAAGGTCAAAAACCTCTCTAAAATTGTAAAAGCAAAGGCCATCCAAAAGAACTTGTCAAATCACTGGGTGCCAAATGTTGGGATAAATTATTCCTTGTACCTGACTCAAATAGCCCCCTCCTCTTTGTTATCTGCTCTATAGTTACACAACTCTATAACATAACTAGAAGGACAATTCTAATTTTGAAATAACTGAGTGACAACTAAAATTTCATTAGCTTACATTCATTGGCTCTCTAATATACTGAACCCCAAATGAAGTTTAAGGACAAACAGCAGTTCTAAGTGCACACAAGAGCAAAACATCCAAGAAAAGAGATAAAAAAAAAACTGGATCAACAATATTATTATGTAACCATTCAATTTCCAGATTAGTAGTTAAGCCTTTGGCTTAGATCTTTTAGGAAACCTACTTATTTTTTTTTTTACAATAATGTAAAACAAAGAAATACATAAGCAAGTAAAAATGGAAACAGAAAAAAAGAATAATTTGCTCCTCACCAGACTACTAGTTGGTTGCTGTGTGCAGGCCAGTAAGTCAGACAACTCCAGGATATCTAACCCCTCTTCCTTGTGAAAAAATGGCTACTTAACCTTATGATTAGGGAGTCATGCTTCTGTAGGCATGGTTCCTTGGCAGTTTCTTCTAAGATGAGATATGACATTAAGATGCAAGTACTATTAATGGCATTATCCCAACAGACTCACATACAATCTACAAATGTACACATTCCATAGGGTCCAGTGCTGCTCAGCATGAAATGCAAAATCATCCTTCCATGTGATAATGCAAGGGTGTGTTTACGTAAGAATCAGCGTCACAGTCTTTATCAGACTTCAACAGGACTCAGTGATGAAAAATGGATAGATAACTACATTTAAAGTAAAAAAGGGAAAAATCCACTTTTGTTACTAAGCTAACATTTAAGAATAGAGGACAGGAATTAAGTCAATTTATACAAAAATACTATAATTTCATCACAAATTTCCTTTGTTTTTCTGATTATAAGGATTTTGTTATTATACCATGAAGTACAAAACAAAGGGCACACTTGATAGATGAACACAAAAACAAAGACATATAACACAGAAACTACTAAATGCCACATATTTCAAGAATTTTACATATACAAAAATCCTAGGAGAAGCTCCACAGGTCACGTAGCCTACAGGTCTCACAGAAGTTCCAGGGATGCAGCTTCTGCAAGTCACCATGCTGCTGAGTGGACTTTGTGATAATGCAGAGCCTTTGGGTCACCCATGTCCTTGTCAGAAGCTCCTTTACTCATACTCTATAAACTCTCTGCTTCACTTTTTTTTTTTTTTTTAAGAAAAAGGCAACTTCTAGGACGTTGTTAATAGTAAAGAGAACCTAAGGTCAAGAAAAGTTAAGAATATATGTATATGTATATATGTATGATGTATAACGAATAGTTTTCGATCTTTTTGTGTATGAATGCTTTGCCTACATGTGTATGTGTGCACCACTTGCATGCCGTGTGTCTTTGGAAGTCAGAAGAGGGCCTCAGAGCCATTGGAACTGGAGTTTCTCATAGTTGTGAACCACCCATGGTGCTAGGAACTGAACTTGGTCCTCTGTAAGAACAGCAAGTACTCTTAACTGCTGAGCCATCTCTCCAGCCCTGCTAATGGCTATGTTTTTAACATAAGAGGCAGAATAAGACCTTCAGCCCACTTGTTAAGGGTGTGTGCTCTTTACATAAAGTATGCTCTTACTCATTGAAGTTATATACAGAAAGTAATGAGTTACTTACTTTAAGTTTTCCTTTGTTAAAAGCACAAACAGAGACCTGGTAGGCAGAATGCCCCATGTCAATAAACACAACATTCCTTGGTTTCTCATCTAATGACGGAAGATCCTGTTTATAAATTCCATATGCCAGCGCCACTGTATAAGAACAAACAATAGGTTAATTCTTGTATAGCTGTCCTTTGGAAAACAAGACAAAGTTATGTTTGCTTATACTGCATTCTAATATACAATACAGTAAAATAGATTCAACCTATAGTAACTTTTCACAGATTACTTAACATTTTATTTTCCCTACTCAGTTGTCAAAGCAGTAGCCATTCTTTAAGATCAAATGTGAATTCGACCTCTGTCAAAATTCTGTATTCAAAGCAACAAATTATAAATGATGTCAGAGTTTTAAAAAGCTGTAGAGAGAAAAGCTGCTGTTTTCTGATGGTAGTTTTCAAGTGGCCATACCAACCTGCAGTGGTTTCATTCATCAGCCTCAGACAATTTAGGCCTGCAACCTGAGCTGCCGCCATCACGGACCTTCTCTCAGCATCAGTGAAGAAGCTCGGGATCTGGTAAGAAGAGTCACAAGTTACTGCCTCAGTGCCACAGACTTTACTAATAACCGCGGAACACGCAACTTTAAATCAATGTAAAGTACTAGTGTAGGTTCTTAAGTCTGGCAGTTTCTGTACCACACAGATGGGATCTGGAGTTTGAACACAAATCTAATTAGTATTGTAGGATCCCCAGTTCTGTTTACCTCAAGGAGCAGTGTTAGTCTGCTTACTGTGGTTTGGACAGCTGTCTGAGGACTCGGGTGCTGGTCCTCAGTGTGACTTTGTGGAGGTGGACAGTGGTTGAAGGTGCTTAGATGAAATGAGAGGTATGATCTAGGAAGGGATGGTAGACCTCATTTCTGTCTGGACACTTGTTTGGCAATCTGGTCTTTTCTTCATACATACTCTTGCCAATGATGCTGTTATGTCCTCACCACAAAACAAACTAATAGTTTCCCATTATTAAATTCAGCTTCCAAAAGCTAATGGGATAAATAAACCAGTTTTCCTTACAAAGTTAGCCTGCCTACAGTATTCTGACACAGTATTGAAAACATGATGAATATATTAGACTATTAAAATACTGGTCCTGGGCATGGTGGTACACTCCTTTAAACCCAGCACTTGGGAGGCAGAAACAGGAGGATTTCTATGAGTTTGAGGCCAGCCTTCTTTATATAGCTAATTCCAGGTCAGCCAGTGCTACATAGTAAGAGCCTGTCTCAAAAAAAGTAAGTTAATAAATAAAATACTAGTCCATCTTTAATAACAAAAATTAAAACCCTAAGACTCCATTAAAATGAAATTAAGTATATGTAATATAGTATATCTCATATAATAGAATCCTGAGTACCTAAGACCATCTCGATTTCCACTGTCATGGAATAGTATATTATGTTAAAAAAGGACATGCATGGCTCAGTGGCTAAGAGCACATGCGACTCTTGAAGAGCATAATTTCCTGTAACTCCAGTTCCAGGAAATCTGAGGCCTTCTTTTGGTCTCTATGGCGTGGCATGCATACTGTCTCTACACAGACAAACAGGCATGCACCCACCCACCCACACACGGCTTTTTTCATTTTTCAATGAAATGAGCATAATTTCATTTCTGTGGAATGTATATACAACTAGAAGATGAAATCCAATTGTTTAAAATGGTTATATTTCTAAGGAGGGAAAATATATATTGCAGGAAGTTATGAAGGCTCTATTTTGCAGCCATCAAAAGATATTGTGTTTATACTAAAATGTTAACCTTGGGCTTAAAATGTACAAAAATTTATTTATTTATTTAACCACCACCTCCAATTTTTTTTTTTTTTTTTTTGGTTTTTCGCGACAGGGTTTCTCTGTGGTTTTGGAGCCTGTCCTGGAACTAGCTCTTGTAGACCAGGCTGGTCTCGAACTCACAGAGATCTGCCTGCCTCTGTCTCCCGAGTGCTGGGATTAAAGGCATGCGCCACCACCACCTGGCTTCACCTCCAATTTTTAACAGGGTTTCCTGGCTGTCCTAGAATTAGCTCTGTAGACTACAATGGCCTCAAACTCACAGAAATCCACCTGCCTGTTCCTCCCAAATGCTAGGATTAAAGGCATGTGCCACCATCATCCATATTAGCCCCCAAAATTTTAAAGATAACTATTGAAAATATTAATATAGAATATTCCTCAACACCTTCATGACCTGATGTGCAATCTTCCTGCCTCAAATTTTCAGAATGCCAGGATGAGTATTGAGTAACAATACCTCGCTTAATATTTCTTTTACTATGATGTGTATGTGGGGGTTGTGCAATGCCACAACATGTATTTAGAGGTCAAAGAACAACTTTGTGGAAGCAGTTCTTTCCTTCTCCCTTCACATGAGGTCAGAGGATTGAATGCACATCATCAGGTTTGAGTGGCAAGTGCCTTTACTCAGAGATATCTCACTAGCCTCCAACTTAAGCCTTTTGTTTGCTGTTGGTTTTATGTATTTAGACAGGTTCTCACTATGTATCTTGCCTGTCCTGGAACTCACTAAGTAGACCAGTCTGACCTTGAACTCAGAGATTTATCTGCCTCTGCCTCCTGAGTGCTGGGATTAAAGGCACATGACACTATGCCCATCCTAAATTTAAATTTTAAGTTTTTTTTTTACTGTGTTCTGTTAGATGTGCTTATAGTCCTGTACATTAGTATTCTTCTCCTGACAAATCTATAATTCATATATGTGGTTTTTTTTAATATTTATTTATTATGTTATGTTATACAATATTCTGTCTGTGTGTATGCCTGCAGGCCAGAAGATGGCACCAGACCTCATTACAGATGGTTGTGAGCCACCATGTGGTTGCCGGGAATTGAACTCAGGACCTTTGGAAGAGCAGGCAATGCTCTTAACCACTGAGCCATTTCTCCAGCCCCATATATGTGGTTTGTATAGTATTCATGAGGCAATTTATGAACCAAGTACTTTTATGGCTGCTATGGATACAGCTCCACAGAGCAGTAGAGCAATCCTCATAATGCTGACAGCCATGAGAGACGGGCCTAACAGCTGTACCACTCTCACACATGCATTCCAAGTGGCACCATGAGGAGGAGTTGCAAGCACACTCTTGGGAATGAAGTACTCGATTCTCTGTAGTACGGACATGAGGAGGCAATACTCTACCCTTGTGGGGGAGCTGAGACTTAACACACATAAAATTACCACAGTGCCTAGCTAATGGTAAACACTCTTATCTGCTGTTTCTAATGGTTACAAAGCAAAATACTAAGCTCTTACATTTCTTTCAGTTAAATTTAAATAATGAAAATATTTAATAATTAAGTTCACTATAAAGTTAATATTCTAATTCTTATGTACCCGACTTTAATCACACTAAGTAAAAACATATATGATAAAAAGAAGCTAACAATATTCAATGATATTTAAGAGATAAGCCATGGCAAATAATTAAATATTTTATTAAGAATTTTAAAAAGGATCCTTAAAGAATACCTGTTTTTTTCCCTGAGACAGAAGTCTATAATTTCAAATTCCTGCCTATAACTTCACACCCCTAACTTTGAATTTTTAATTTATTCCCTAAAACATTAAAGTATTTAAAATTGGGAAGTAAATGCTACTAGGAAGATTATATTTTTAAGTTTTTAAAATTGCATGCATTTGGCATCTATCTTTGTACAGATTTGTGTGCGTACACATGTGGGAGAGAGCACACATGCAGAATCAGAGGATGATCCTCACGAGTCAGACTTCACCATGTGGGTCCTAGGGATCAAACTCAGGGGGCCAGTGCCTAAGCCATCTCACTTGTTCCTGAGGAAGACTCATAAGTGGCAGGGTCAGCAGCCACTGAAAATATAACACACGCTGGTTTTTGAAGGCTCACTGATTATGAGAACAGACTTATTAGGAAAGTCGACCTAAACTTTATGAAATGAGGTGGTTTTTAAAAAAGTAAAGCCACTGTAAGTTATTTTGTGACCAAAGAGAGAAATTACAAAAAGAAAACCTTTTTTTCTTGATGTCAATACCCTGGAGCTCACCGAGATCACACAGTCGGCCACTGGCTTCTTCAGGGCATTTTCTGAGGTCTCTTTAAGTTTAGCCAACAACATTCCGGTGACTTGCTCAATTGCAAAGGGCCTCTCTTCCTCCAGGTACCGAACCTACAATCAAGATTGATACACTCAGTCACTTATTCACACAATGCGTGTGCACACCACACACGGCAGTGGAAACAGTGGTCCATTCCTTACAGAGGGTCACCAGCAGCACGGAGCAGTCTCACGTGTAGCTCCACACCAACAAGCACATAACTTTGGAGAGAGTTCTAAACTCGTGAGTCCTCACCCACAAAAAAGTCCATTCATTTTTATCATTAATTTTCCAAGTATGACGTAAACAGTGAAGGAAAAAAGATAAAATTCTTTTCTTTGTTTTCCCCTTGGGATATTTTTCTGTGTAACAGTCCTGGCTGTTCTGGACCTCACTTTGTAGACCAGGCTGGCCTTGAACTCCCAGAGATCCACCTGCATCTGCCTTCTAAGTGCTGGGATTAGAGGTATGCACCACCAGTGCCCAACAAGATAAAATTCTTAAAAATTAGTACTCCTGGACTTAACACGTAAGCTTCAGCCACATGGTTTTGAAAAGCGGAAATTAATAACACCATGGAAATAGAGGTAAAGAATCCTAATTATTAATCTGTATCAATCTATATACCTATGAACACTGATTTTTGACAAAGAAGCTAAAAATATAAAGTAGAAAAAGAAAGCATATTCAACAAATGGTGTTAGCATAACTGTGTATCAAAATACAAGAGAATGCAAATAGATTCATATCTATCACCACGCACAAAACTCAAGTCCAAATAGATCAAAGTCTTCAACATAAAAACAACCACACTGAACCTCACAGAAGAGAAAGTGGGAAGTAGCCTTGAACACATTGGCACAGGAGTCCACTTCCAAAATATAATCCCAGTAGCACAGACACTGAGAGCAACATTAATAAACTGGACCTTCTGAAACTGAGAAGCTTCTGTAAAGTAAAAGACATGGTCAACAAGACAAAACAGCAGCCTACAGATTCGGAAGATCTTTACCAAACCCACATGGGACAGAGGACTGATTCCAAAATATACGAAGATCAAGAAATTTGACATTAAAAGAACAAATAATTCAATTAAAAATGGAATACAGACCTAAACACAGAATTCTCAACAGATGAATCTCAAATGGCTGAGAGACACTTAAGGAAATGCTCAATATCTTTACCTATCAGAGAAATGTAAATCAAAACAACTCTGAAGTTCCATCTTCCATTAGTCAGAATGGCCAAGATCAAAAACAGTGATGACAGCTTATACTGGAGAAGATGTAAGGTAAGGGGTGGGAGTGAAAACTTAAACAGCTGCTTATGGCAATTTCTCAAAAAAATTAGGAAACAATCTACCTCAAGACCTAGCAATACTGCTGTTGGGTATACAACTAAAGCTCAATCATACCACAAGGACATGTGCTCAGCTATGTTCACAGCAGCATTATTCACAATAGCCAGACTCTGGAAACAACCTAGATGCCACTCAACTGAAGAATAGATAAAGAAAATGTGGCAATTTACACAATAGAGTACTATACAGTGGTTAAAAAATGTTATCTTGACACCTTCCTAGACATGGACGGAGGGGGGAGGACCTTGGACTTTCCACAGGGCAGGGAACCCTGACTGCTCTTTGTACTGGAGAGGGAGGGGGAGAGGAGTGAGGAGAGGGGGAGTAGGGTGGGAGGAGTGGGAGGGAAATGGGAGGCTGGGAGGAGGCGGAAACTTTTTTTCCTTTTCTCAATAAAAAAAATAAAAAAAGTTATCTTGAAATTTACAGGCAAATAGATGGATGTAGAAAAAACTATATTGAGTGAGGTAACCCAGACCCAGAAAGACAAATATGTACTCACTCATAAGTAGCTTCTAGACATAAAGCAAAGAAAAACCAGCCTACAGTCCACAACCCCAGACAACCTAAACAACAAAGATGACCCTAAGAGAGACATATATGAATCTACATAGGAAGGAGAAAAATAAAAGATCTCCTGAGTAAATTGGGAACATGGGGATCATGGGAGAGGGTAGAAGGGGAGAAGGGAGGAAGGGGAGAATGGTGAAAAATGTATAGCTCAATAAAAACAATGAATAGTGTTCTTACACTAAAGTTCCTAGGAACATGCATGGAATATATATATATATGTATATATATATTACACACATATATACATATATATATTTTTCCAAGACAGTGTTTCTCTGTGTTACAGTGAACTCACAGAGATCCACCTGCCTCTGCCTCCTTAGTATTGGGATTAAAGGCATGTGCTACCACTGTCGGACTTGGATTAGGCATAAAATTTAAAGATTAATGGAGACTAGATATCGGCTACACTTTATTGACTGGGTTGTATTTAGTAATATAAGAGTAGTTTGAGCAAGAACCTGTATTTGAAAGTAATTTAACCTTTATGATGTATTTAAAAGCAACGCAGAACAGGGCTGGAGAGGTAGCTAAGATTCCAACTATCTATAGCACTCTGCCTCAGGGAATCTGGCCTCTGAAGGCAACAGGCATGCATACAGACATACCTCAGGCAAAATACCAATACCTATGAAATATAATACAAAGTGATCTGAAGAACTTGCATAAAACAAGTGCTTTGTTGCTGTTTGAGATAGGATTTCTCTGTGTAGCCCTGGCTATCCTGGAACTTGCTCCTAGTCTAGGCTGGCCTCAAACTCAGAGATCTGCCTGTCTCTGCCTCCTGAGTGCTGGGATTAAAGATGTGCACCACCTTGCCTGGCAAGACAAGGATGTTCAATTCACCCAATATAAGCCTATATTCTTTACCTATAGATCCCAGAGTACAGCTTTATTCCATGACACCAACCTTTGAAATAATTCTGGAAAATTTTCTCAAGCCTAGCAATATATTTGGATGTGTAAATACATAAAAATCAATATATATCTAATGATACACTAAAATTGTTTTTTTTTTCCAATCCATGTAGAAACACACAACAAATGCTACTGAATCGCTGCCTCTAAACTAAGGGGTACAGAGGAATGAATTACACTGAAGACAGTGAACCAAACCACATTGTCCTACAGTAATAGGCTGATGAGGTGCTCAGTACTTCTTTGTATAAGGGTATTTGAAGGTTAGATGAAATAAGTATTAAGTACATTCAAGAAAATCTGTAAAAAAAAAAAAAAAAAAAAAGCAAGTGAAGAAAATAAAGAGAGCTGACCAGCAGTCCTCAGCTTCCAAAGAGGGAGACAGTGGAACACAGAACTGACACTTTCAAAGCCTTTAACTATCAAATAGCCACTCAGTACGAATATACAAAATTTTATTGCTTGAAAATTAGTTTTCTTGGGGCTGGAGAGATGGCTTAGAGGTTAAGAGCACGGACTGCTCTTCCAGAGGTCCTGAGTTCAATTCCCAGCAACCACATGGTGCCTCACAACCATCTGTAATGAGATCTGGTGCCCTCTTCTGGTCTGCAGATGCACATGCAGACAGAACACTGTATACATAATAAATGAATAAATAAATCTTTAAAAAAAAGAAAATTAGTTTTCTTTTAAAAATTTAGTTCTCAGATGGGTGGTGGTGGTGCACACTTTTAATCCCAGCACTCGGGAGGCAGAGGCAGGTAGATATCTGTGAGTTTGAGGCTAGCCTGATCTACAAGAGCTAGTTCCAGGACAGGTTTCAAAGCTATGGAAAAACCCTGTCTCAAAAAACAAAAACAAAACAAACAAAAACCCATACTCTCCTCAGCCTATTCACACAATCTATTTTGCATGTGTGATTTTTTTTTCCCCAGTGCTGGGAACCAAACTCAGGCCTTTGTGCTTGTGAGACAAGTATTTGACTACTGAGCTAAATAAATCCTCAACAGTTTTGCTTTGTTTTAAAGAGTAAAATCAAAATATTTTAATGAGCTTAAATTTTAATCTCTAATAGTTAAGGCTGTTAGGTGGTCATGAAAACCTAACCAATATCTGACTTCATTTTCCTCTGTTATTGCTAACATAGCTCATTATCCAGCTCCACTTAACAAACCTTGACCTTCCACATTACACCAAAGTATGGCTTAAAGTCTTTAACCTCTGATGGGGCATCCATGAACTATCTCAACAGTTTCTTTCTCTTTATTAAAGCATGCTATCCTCTCTAGTCATATTCCTCTTCTAAAACTAGAAATACAGGCATATCCATAGCATGGACACATCAAGCTCAGAGTTATTCAAAATAGCTTTAGGGAGACACAGTCACATAGCATAAAGTTCCAGGGAGTATACTTTTAAGAGGGCGACAAAATTGTGCATAGATCTCCACTTTCTACTTGTACAATATTTTCATCACCACACCAGAAACCTCCTCATGGTTGTTAGCTATATGTCCCATTCCCTCTTCCTCTTAGCCCTTGGCAGTCACTAATTTTTCTGTCCATATGAATTTACTGACTCTGGGATACTGCAAATAAGAATCTACTAAATTATGTGGACTTTTGTACTGGGGTTCCTTTACTTAGTGTTTTTGATGTTCTTATACAGTGTGGCATGTATCAGTACTTTCTCTTAAGATTGCATGCTATTTTACTATATAGGTGTATTTCATCATAATGGACAACTTTATTTCTACAAATCACACCGTTAATATTATGAACATTCATGTATAGAAATTTTGTGGACATATTTTCAACTCTGGGGTTTGTAAGGAGTAGAATTGTTGAGCCATACACTGACTGTGTTTTATAGTATCTCACTCATTTGTGCTGACCAATTTCTAGACCCCATTTCTTAGAAGAAAGTTTGCTTTACCACTTCACTTCTAAATATTACAAGATTCTTGTAAAGCTGACAACCTGCTGGCAGCTCTACTACTTTGGAGGTGTACTCTTCTAAGTTGCACATGGCTCTGCTTTACTCTCAACCAGTCTCATCTACTGGCCTTCTCCCAGTGATAGTCACTTCTTATTTCACACAAAATAACTGTTTTTAAAAGTTACTATCTACAACAGAATGTTTTGCATTCACTAAAATTACTACAAACTTGACCATCATGCAGGTGTTGTCCCAATTTATGATAAAACACCATGACTGAACCAACTTGGAGAGGAAAGGGTCTATTCATCTTACAGATGTAGTCCATCATCCCGGGAAGTCAGAGCAGGAACATGGAGGCAGGAATTGATGCAGAGGCCACGGAGGAAAACGTTGTTTACTGGCTTTCTCTTCCTCATGAATTACACAACTTGTTTTCTTATGCCCCAGGACCCCTATCTGCCCAAGGTGGCACAACCACACCAGGCTAGATCCTCTCACTTCTTTAACTAAGAAGACTGTATTACAGACTTACCTGTAGGCCAATAATTGAGGCACGTTCTCAATTTAAGATCCCCCTTTCCATAAGTTGTGACAATTGACAATAAATTAGCCAGAACAGATAGATGCTCAAATATACGGTCTGAGAAACAAAGTTATACTTCAGGTTATAACAGTAACATTCTCACATTGTTCTTTCCTTTAAGGGCACAGCTGTACTCTTGCAAACACAAAGCTCACCTTAACTCCTGCACTTCCATTGGGCATCTTCTGCAGTTCATAGGGAAGCCTGACTCTCTCCGTTTGCACAATGGGGTCATCAAATGATCGCCCATGAAGCTTTTTGAAGCCATGAATTGTATTTCTTACATTTGTAACTATCTGTTGGCAATAGACATGTGAGTTTATCAATTAGTTAATGAGGCAAAATAAGGTAATAATCTAATACTTAAAACCACCAAATTCCTATTCTCGTATACTCAAGTTCAGAATTTTACTTAATTCATTCTCTTGTTGTCCAATTAGAAAGTTATAGTTGAGCATGCATGTATCTTAAGTGTTATCTTTGCAGTCTCTTCTTTTCCTAGAAATTAGTGAAAGAGACAGTATAAAACCTTTTGAAACTTTCCAAACAATATGGTGAAAATCTATTGACAAATCATTTCTGTTTTCAGCACTTTGAAAAAATTTTAGGTGTATGGGTATTGTGCCTACATGTATGTCTGTACACTACTTGGATGTCTGGTGCCTCATAAGGTCAGAAGAAGGTATCAAATCTCTGGAGCTGGAATTACAGCTCCATATGAAGCACCACATGGGTGCTGGAACCAAACCTGTGTCCTCTGGAACAGAGGAGCAGCCAGTATTCTTAACCACTGTGCCATCTTTCCAGCCCATTCTCAGCACTTTCTATGAAGTAAATTATTTTGTTTGATGTTGTGTTTTCCTTTCACTTAAAAATACTTTATTTTGAATTATGTGCATGTAGGGGGTGTGGGTGTCTATGAGCACAGGTCTCTTAGAGGCCAGAAGGGGAACTCTGATCTCCTGGAGATGGAGTTACTGGTAGTGCTGGGAAGCTGACTCTGGTCCTCTGCAAGAGCAGTGTGTGCTCTTAGCTGCTGAGCCATTTCTCCAAACCTTTCCCTATTTTTTATGTTTTTATTTAAATTGTTTTCAAATCATTTATTTTCCTTTCTTCTCAGTGGCTGTTTTCTTGAGAGATGTCTTATATATTGCTCCCATTGATAAGAATCACCCCAGATCAATATTTAAAATCCCTCCCATGAGGCATAGTGCTAAGCAACAGTCTTAACTGTAAATGACTAGTATTTTGACAAGCTAATGTTTTGTTCAAACTATATACTGCTACTTAGATGCAGTATTTGCTTTCTTAGTGACCTTCAAATGGATCTGGAACTTCCCTCATGGGATGAATGCATAGGGGTGCTCAGCCAATTTAACTCATGGGCGATTAATAATAGTACAGACTGCTTTAAATAAAGATTATTTCTGCTAATATTACAGCACTCAAAATATGATCGTGCTTGAAAGATGGCTCAGAGGCTGAGAGACCTTGCTGCTCAGTCACGAAGACCTGAGTTTGGATCCCAGCTCTGACATCAGGTGGTGGGCAAGGCCTACGACTCCAGCTCCAATGCCTCCACCACTCTCTGCTGGCCTTGTGTGCACTGCCCCACACCTCTACATGCACAAACACACAGATACACACACAGAAAAAGTAACTCTTAAAAACACCAAAATGTGAGGTCTAAAGCTAATAAAGGAGCTATTTTCGCAATAATTAACTTTTATATATAATATGAATGTAGAAAACATAAAACACTTTCACATATAAAGCAGAATTAAATGACATTCTTTCAAATTTTTGAGCAAAAGTTTTTAAATTAATGAGTAAATAATTCCCACAAAGTCAAGAGGAAATAATGGCACATTAAATAATTGATTTTTCTGAAACAGGATGTCACATAGATCAGGCTTTAAACTCACTTGAGATCAGCCTTGAATTCCTGATCAGCGTAACTCAGCCTCCTTAGTGCTAGGTTTACAGACATGAGAACAGGAAGAAAAGACCCAGCTATACATAAAATATATGAAATAACTACCAAGGACTTTGGATTAGGAAAATAAAGGAAAAGTAAAACAATATAAAGCCAACACGCTAGTGGGCAAACAGGCAAGCTTTAATATCCTATTCATAAGCATTTCAGAAGTCTAGAGATATACTTAAATTTCACGATCCACATTAAGCCACGCTGGAAATTTTCTCCTTTGCTCCCCCCACCTTCTTTTACTAAGAACACTGCTTACTAGTCACGGAAGTATTCAGAAGACCACCCCTTAGAGAAGTGACCATAGTAGGACATCCAACTTTACAATTCTTAAAGAAATAAAATAAAAAATTATTCTATAACTTAAAGCAAATTTATTTCTCCTCCTCCTCCTCCTGCTACACCCCACCCTGCATTTTCTTTGCTTTGTTTTGGAAACAGTATCTCATGCAGCTTATGCTGGCCTTTAACTCTTAATCATACTGCCTCAAGAGCTGGGATTACAGGGATGAGCCACCACACCCAGCAAAGTGTGTCTGACACAATAAAAGGTGTAGACTCTGCCCTACTTGTAATTCTCAATTATGTGCTATGGTAGTCAACCACCATGTAGTTAACTTTCTCTCCAAGTAAAACAGCCACACTAGCAACATACCTGGCTCTTAGCTGCATTTCCAATGGCTCGAGTTCTGGATCCCAAAGATATACAGGCCCTGAATAAGATTAAAACAAGAGTTCCACTGTTTATCTGGTACACTGTTTATATGATTCTTTTTATACAAAAGTAAATTTAAAATAGTTAAAAACGATCATTATTTTAAAATCAGGTAGTAGAAATAAAAACTTTACATATCTCTAAACTTTATAATAACAGAATAATGATAAAAATTTTAGAATTTAAAAAACTGTGTTAATATTTGACAATATGATATTGGTGCCAAAACTGTTTTTCAAATTCTAATGGCCTGAGTCCTATTCAAAAGTAACCATATTTAGTAAGGTAAGGCTGCTCGGATTTCCACTCTGAGTCACACAAGCATCATCTGCTTCAGTTTCCATATGTGAGAGTGCTGACAACACCTGCTCCTCAGGTGATGTGAGGACCGGGAGTGAACGCAGGTGTGAAGAAATGCTGTCGACACCTGGCACAATGTAGTTGGAGGTTGCTTGTTCATTTTCTGGCCACCCAGACCCGAAATAATCACACTGGAACTATATTAATTGCAACACTGTTGGCTTAAGTGTATTTCTAACTAGCTCTTATATCTTAAATTAACCCATTTTACTAATCTGTGTATCGCCACGTCGTTGTGGCCTACTGGTAAGGTTCTGTCCTGTGTCTGGCATCTGTCTCTTTCAGTGGCTACAAGGCTTCCCCTTGACTCCACATACCTTTTCCCCTATCTCTACTTGGAATTCCTGTCTTGCTCTGTTCTGCATTGTCATAGGCCCAAGCAGCTTCTTTATTAACCAATGGTGATAAAACATATTCACAGGTTACAGATGGGAATCCCACATCAGCACAATAAAAATACAAATACTTGTTGCTATTTTTGTTTGTTTGTTTTTTGAGACAGGGTTTCTCTGTGGCTTTGGAGCCTGTCCTGGTTCTTGCTCTGTAGACTAGGCTGGTCTCAAACTCACAGAGATCCGCCTGCCTCTGCCTCTGCCTCCCAAGTGCTGGGATTAAAGGCGTGTGCCACCATCGCCTGGCACTTGTTGCTATTTTAATCACTACATTTTACATGTCACATAAGACTAACATTTTTTATCACGTGATTGAAGAAAATATTTCCAGGTTTAAGTTTTAACTACAAGAAACTATTCAATAAATAAATACTGTACATACATAAGCTATTCTCTATCCTTGAATAATTTAAAATTTGTTGAAAAATTCAACAGAACACATACCATTATGAAAAAGAACAATCACCTCCATATAATAGAGTCTAGAAAAAATTCTTTTTAATATTAATTTATATTTTTTTAAAAAAAATTCTTTTCTCATTTTACGTACCAATCCCAGTTCTCACTCCCTCCCTCCTTCTACTTCCCCTACCTTCCATCCACCCCACCCGCTATCCACTCCTCAGAGAGGGTAAGGCTTCCCATGGGAGCCAACAAAGCCTGGCACATCACAGGAAAAGCAACTTCTAAATTAAGACTTGAAAAGAGATAAAAAGCATTTAATTTATAGCTGTCTTGTGCAAACTGATGTTCCAGGCCATTAGAATTGAAAAACAGTTTTGGCACCAATACCGTATTGTCACAGGTGCTCAAGTTAGATATGGTTTCCCTATAAAGGTTCATATGCTAAAAACCTGATCCCAAATATAATGACACCGAGATGGCAGACCTCTGAGATGTAGTACCTAGGAGCCAGATCATGGGGCACCAAACTCAGAAAATCAGTGCCCATTTTACAGAAGCATGTCAGGCCCCCTCCACATACAGCATGTCCCCTTTGTGACACAGCCAGAGGCCCTTGCCAGAACACCAGCACTGGGCAGGCTGTGTCCTCCAGCCACTAGGATCTGGAGCCAAGTAATTTCCTTAGACGTTCCTAGGTTGACACTTTTCCCTGACAGTCCCATACAAACAGCATTCCTGATCCTCCCAACCTAAACATCTCCTAGCATCTAAAATCCCACTTCCTCCATAGTATAATTACCATCTAATACAATTTATTCTCCAGCTGAATCTCTAGACCAAATGTGAGATCTGTGAGGGAACGAGGCATTGTCCTCATTGCACCATTCAATGTGGCAGCCAATGCTCACATATGGGAGATAAAATTTAAATTAAAATAACAAAATTCTGTGCCTCAAAACTAGTCACATTTCAGGTTAGTACACTCGCATGTAGCTAGGAGATATAAAAAACTATACAGAGAACAAATATATATATGAAAGTTCTACTGCTCTGGCCAGGAGCACTGCCTGGTGAACAGGAAGGACACTTTCTGAAAGACCAGGAATATGGATCCTAAGGGTAATTAGGAAGAATGCAACTTGGTTAGTTTCATAGTTGGGTTTGATTAAGATAGTATCCAGGTCAGACTATATAGGGCCTCAACAACCCAATTATAAATTGAAATGTTTGCATGCAGTAATCAAATTCATTAAGTTTCCGAGTAATGGAGAGAACAATGTATGGTGATGGATAATACGAAACAAAGGTTGTATCTCAGAGCATGGCTTGCTAAGCGCTGACCTATCACACTGAGGCCCACTGGACTTTGAATTCAGCCATCTCTACATCTGGCTGCTCCTCTCAATTTTTCCACATAAGCTTTAAAAATATCCCTACTTTTTCTTTTCCCTTCCTAGGCTACATCACAGCATTCTTGGCCTTCTGCGGCCACTGTGTTGCTGCCAGATGAATAATGACACGAGAGAGATAGCAAGCAAGCATCCATCTCCACTTCCTTAGAGAGCCGTTATGACTCTCTTCTCATGTTGCCACTTTGGCTAAACAATGTGTTTGTTTCAACTACAGTGTCAGGGTGTCCAGAAAGCAGAGTTTCTCAACCACGGCAATCCTGATATTCCGGGCCAGATGCTCCTTCTGTTGAGCGAATGGGGCTGTGGTGTGCACGGTGACAGTTGAGTCCGCTGGCCTCTTCCCACAAGATGCTAATAGTACCCTTTCTACTCCCACTCTCAACTGTGACAACCACAGTTGGGCAAAGTAACTTCTCTCTGAGAACCGCTGCCTTGGCACAGATCTCAAGACGTTTCTGTAAAACATGATTCTTTAGATGCTAAACTAGCTTGGGAAAACATTGCTTTCTTAAGATACTTTCAGTGCTTATCAGTAAAGGGACTTGAGAAGCTCTTCAGAGAAGAGAAGCGCAAATACTGCTTAACCATCTGGGGAAAATGCTACGGTAGAAGACAAAGAGGGAGGAATCGTTCTCAGAATGGCATATTGATGCTATAGGCTCTCAAACATGTTTTTTCGAAAAATAAACTTTAGACATATATAGTTTAATGACAACAAAGAACTTCCAATCTTTTATTATGGCCAAAAGGATTAAATATTTTAACAAATGGAAAAATAATGTAAGTTTTTAATATACTTATTAAACATAAATTGAAAGTTAAGTTAGCTTATAACTTGAGGCCATTAACAGAAATCACACAAATACTTAAGCTGATCAGGTATTAGACATAGCAATGCATGCCTTTCATCTCAGCATTTGGGAGGCTGAAGCAGGAGGATCAAGTCCAAGATCATTTCAGGCTACTTACTCAAAATCTTATCTCAAAAAACAAAAGCAGAAACTGATCAGTGATTGTAGATACATAGTATTAGATTATTAGGCAGAATATTTTAGGATATAGTCTTAATTAAAATTCACCCATTCCAAACACAAACATAAATTCACAATTTTAAGGTTCTTTAAATTGTGAATACCTGGCTAGAAAACTTGCAAACTACCATCTGCAACATACCTTTATAAATGAAATTCTACCAGATCTCAGTGATGATCATTAAGTTTTATAATGCTCATAGACTAAAAAGACTACCAACGGCATGGAAACATCATAAATTCATGCCACTTATTTGTATTATGTAATGTCAGATTCCTTACCTATAAGATCAACGTAATGACTGGAGAATCATTTTATTTTGTCTTGTATTAAAACTTGACTGTTTTAAGAACAGTTTTAGGTTTGGCTATTTTCTAATTTGTACCATCAAACCTTATAGCCCCCTAAACAAACTTAATTTAAAAAAACAAAGCAGCAAATCTAGTCACTGGGTTTTTTTTTTTTAGAAGCAAAATAACTATATTAGCTTATCATTCAGTAAATGTGAATTATCAAAAACAAAACAAAACAAATCCAAAACCCAACCCCAACCCCGCAAAGTAAAAAGAAACAAAAAGGTAGTTATTGTAACATTATTTGCAAAAATAAAATATAAACACATGAAGGTAGAACTTGGGATGAACTAATAAAATGATTATAAAAACACTAAAACTGATGCTAACTGATGGGACAGAAATACTTTACAGAGAAGTTAGTGAACAGAACAACAATCTATTTTCCCCTTTCTATCTTAAAAACAAATAGAACCATCTAGAAGTTTTATTTCTGGATAGAATTATAATTTTTAATTTTATCTTTTCATGTACCTATATTTCTAGGCTTAAGAATAACGTTTTTCTCATAATACACTTAATAAATGAATAAATCCTGAGTAAATTATTGGTCCTGGGATTATGGCGGTTACCTGACTTATATCCACATTTGATTATATAAACATCTAGAATTTCAACAGAGAGGTGATGGTCAATCTAGAAAAAAAGGAGGCCTAAAGCATTCCAGGCTACATCTGGAAAATAATCATATTCTTTTGCATTCATGTTTGCATACTGACATTCTTAAACCACTCCTGGATCATAGTAACCTCAGCATTTAAAGATGGTTTAACACTGATCGTGGCTAACGTTAGTTTGCTTTAAAATTAAGTCTGGATCTTTTCCTTTCCGTAAAAGTACAGGAACAGAATTTGCCTCATAAAATTACAGGCTACAGGAGCCCACAAGAAGAGTTTTTCACAAGCAAGTGTTAGTTGTGTTCGTTGCCAATAAACTTCCCACGTTTCCATGACATAACGCTACAAAGTCTTTCATCAAGTTCATAATGGAAGCACTCCACAGTCCTGTTTATACAGGAGAGTCGCCTCTGACTCACCACCCATTCACTCTGCAGAAATACACTTTAGGTCACAGCCTCTGACCCCAGCAATCTCTAATCGACAGGATTATTAACATGCTCGACCCAGATTCCCACTGCCCAGGCTCTCCCAGCGAATGCACCGTTAACCTAACCCCATCGGAAACCGGTCAGATGGCCTCAAATTCTCAAGGACAACACCTCATCTCCCCTAGAAACAGGCGGACTGCTGAAGAAATACAACAAACGCGTCTAGGGTTAGGATAACTGCCATTCATTTTCTGAGCGTGCAGAGCGAGGGGTCACTTTTCTGGGAAAGCTGTCGCTCGGGGAGCTGGGGGGAGGGCGGGGGGGGGGAGTGGGACACGCAGAGCTGTCCCCTGGCTAGCACGGGATCATCCCAGGCCAGGGCGCGCAGGCCAGCGGGGTCCTTCCTTCGTGCCAGGGACGCAGCGGGGCTCTAGCGGGTCAAGGGCGCCTGCGGTCGGCGGGGGCGAGCGAGGCGGCCCGCGGTCCCCCCCACCCCCGGCTGCCGCCGCTGCACCTGTCCCGGACCCCACCCGAGCCCGGAGGGCGGGCGGCACTTACGGCGTGCACCTGTCGCTGTACTCGTTGGCGATGGTCTCGATGCCGCCGCTCCTCGCCACCGCGACGTAGCAGTTGAGGAAGCCGAGGTCAATGCCCACCACCGACATCCCGCCTCCGGGTCGGGCTGCGGGGACCGCGTCCCGCTGCGGGCCGCTACCGCGGGCGCTGCGACTCCTGAGAGAAGTAAGGGAGAGGCCCCGCTCTCCGTCAGTCAGAGAATCTAGGGCAGGGGCGTCGGAACTGCGGAGGTGGAGCCGCCCGCCTGCGCCGCGCCGCCGCGCCTGCCTCGCCGCCTCCGCCCGGGCCCGCAGCCTCCTCGCCACTGCGGTTCGCCGCCCCCAACCGGCAGTTACTGCGCTCTGCGCCTGCGCGCTCGGCCCCGGGAGGCGCGAGCCTCCGGTCGGCTGCGGCTCGGCGGCCTCGCCCTCGGCCGCTCCCGTCAGCGCTCGGCAACGGCTCGCTGCGCAGCGCCGGGTTCCAGAAGGAACTGGGAAAGGGGGAGGCCGCGGAGCCGCGGAGACGGGCGGGGCGGGCGGTCGCGCGACGCCAGGCGAGGCCAAGCGGTCTCCGGGCAACCGGCGTGGGGGGCGGGGGCGCGGCGACGGCGGCCTGAGGCTCTCGGGAGCGCGGCTCTCAGCGCAGCCGCCCGCCTCGCCTCGGCGTCGCAATCCTCAGCACCGCCCGCCCGCCCCCATCCTCCCGCGGTCCCCGAGAGCCGCGGCCTGCTCGCTCACCTGCCGGCCTCGTCGCCCCAACGGGCTCACGTGCGGCTCGCCCCGAGGCGCCTCCGGCCGCCTCTTTGTGAGGTGGAGCCCATTATGCGGTGCCCCTGCCACGCCCGCCTCCCAGCCACCCCGCTGCGCCCGGCCCTGGCCTCTGACTTTGAGTGCAATCGCCGTGAAAGCCCTTCTTCTAGGCGTTGACCTGTTGCCCAGTGAGCTGCAGAAAAGAGGCCGCCGTGGGCCGCGTGCTGCCTGTGCGCTTGGACAAGTTTTGCACTTACGAAGGCTGCTCCTTTCTGTGCACATTCCAGCGCGAACTCCGTTCTTTCTCCTCTAGCTCCTTCTTGGTGTCCTCTTCCTTAGGGTCCAGTTCTTCATGCTTCTGCTCACCCTTCTTTTCCAGTTCCTCGTGTAAGCCCTGTTGCTTCCCCTCCAAGTTTTCGTGTGCCTCCTGTTCTACCCTGGAAGCAGGCACGGAGTTTTTATCCGCATGTTGAGAACTCTCAGAGTGCCTGTTTGTGCCCCTTCTTAAGTTACTCAGACGTTTCACTATTAGCACCGTGGTCACGGCAACAGCAGCAAGTGTGGCAATCGCTTTTGCTGTTACTACAATGAATGCGAAGTACATTTCAGGAACGACACCAAGTCAACTGGAAGGTCACTCTTGCCTCAACTGCAGTGTTTTTAAAGAACCTTTCTCGTCCAGAGTTTGCAGGAGGCATGCTCTGTCCCACTCAACACTTCCCTAGGAGACCTCGCGACTTGGCTTCCCAGCCGACTGTGCGCGCACAGAACAGGGAATGGGTGCTTCCGGCCCTTCAGAACTCTGAGTCTCAGTGGCTTCCACTACTTCGTTGCCTCACTATCGTCCTCAGGGATGATGATCTATCACTGGCTAGATTTGTTCCTGGATAACCTTGAAACTCTCCTAGGATCACAAATTCCATTTTTTTATCTATGATGTCTTTGGAACCTCAGGTGTTAAGTTTTTCTTTCTCTTTAAAACAACAAAACCCTTAAAATATTAAAAAGAAATCACTGATGCCAGAAACAAAGAGTTCACACTCTTTATAGCTAACAGGAGGAAATGAGTACTTAGAAGTTAAAACAGGAAAAGTTTTAAAAGTTTTAGTTTTTAGGAAATGTTTTACCTGGATTTAGGTTGTAATCGCAGGCATACATAACTTGTGCTGCCTCTAAGACCTTTCTATCTGGTTGACCCACCTATACTTCCTGCCTGGCTAATCAGCTTTTACTTAAAACATGATTGACAGAATACAGACAATTCTCCTGTACCAAGACTCTAACATCCTCCTATTCCTGAGATAAATCAGCTATCCAAAGATGATTGATTTATGAAAACAAAAAAAACAAAGATGATTGATTGTTTTCAGATATGCCACATTTGACTTGATTATGTAGACCATTTCCATCTAAATTCACAATTGAAACGGACTGTTTTGCTTCCTTTACTCTTCTTAATCAAGATAAGACCAGTTTTCTTAGTTTTTTAAAAATTTATAAGACACAATGACCAAAGCAACTTACAGAAGAGTTTATTTGGGACTTCCATTTCAGAGCATTAGTGCCCATGATTGTCATGGTGGGGAGCATGACGGAAGGCAGGCACTGAAGCAGCAGCTGAAAGCATACATCTTGAGCCACAAGAGGAAGACACAGAAAGCTAACTGGAAACGGTGTGGGCCTTTGAAACTTCAGAGCCAACTCTAGTGACACATCTCCTCCAACAGCCCCAACAACTGGGAACCAAGCATCAAATGCAACGAGCCTCCGGGGCCGCTCCTGCTCACACTCCACAGTAGCTTTGGAGAATCAGAAGGGATTCCTCTTTTCCGCTGACAAAGATTTATGACCACCAGTCAGCACATTATTTTAGTGACTATAATTTACTATATAGTAAAAATATAGTAAATATATATAGTAAATATAGTGACTATATTTTTACTATTTTGAGTCAGCAGTCATATTTTTATTGAAAATTACTATTTTACCTATCTACACTTTTGCATTGGCACACATTGATTTATTCAGGTCAAATCTCTTTAGCGTTTTTATCTTTTTCCATTCTTAATTTTGCCCATGTTATTTCCTTGGTTCGTATCACTATTATTAAAAGAATCAGCTTTTGGTTTTCTGGCCTTTATGTTTACATCTTCATTTTGTTGTTGTTGTAGCTGCTCTTTACTGTTTCTTTTTGTTCTCGCCAATTGGGGATTGAACCCAGGATCTCACGCATGCTCAGAAGCATTCTGCAACTGAGCTATTGCCTCAGCCGGGTCTATTTTCCCCTTTCCTAATCCCTACAGCTAAATGTCTGCTTCACTAATGTGCTGGTTGGTCTCATGCCAATTCGACACAGCTAGAGTCATTTGAAAAGAGGGAATCTCAATTAAGGAAATGCTCCCACCAGACTGGCCTGTGGTACATTTTTCAGTGATTGATGTGAGACCGCCTAGCCCATTGTGCATGGTGACACCCCTGGGCAGGTGATGGTGGGGTGTAACGGAAAGTAGAATGAGCAAGCCTTGAAGAGCATGGCAGTAAGCAGCACCCCTCATGGCCTCTTCATCAGCTCCTGCCTCCAGGTTCCAGCCTTGACTTCCTTTCATAATGGACTGAGATGTGTGACGTCTTTTCATAACAGACTGAAATGTGGAAGTGTAAGCAAAATAAACACTTTCCTTCCCAAGTTGCTTTTGGTCATGGTGTTTTATCATAGCAATAGAAACCCTAAGACAATGTTCAATGTTTTATAATTCATATATATGAAGCCTTAAGAAAATTCCTTCTAAATATTATTTTAGCTATAATCCTACCCAAATTTTCAAACGTTGAAACAGAAGAGTGAGAAATGAAGATTAAAAATACCTTGCTGCTAGAAACATTAATGTCTGATATATTTGTGGATTGGTGATTATTGAACCCCAGATATAAGGAAATTTGCCTACCTAAGCATAGTGTAATTGACATCACATTCAAGCCTCCTCCTATAAAAACTTAGATTAGAAGGAAGAGTGGAATGTATGTAGACTCACAAGTGGAGTAAAAAGGGGGACAAATTATCCCCAGGTTCACAAAAGTCAGCATTTTCCTTTCAAAGCCAGTAAGCACCCAGCCAGGTTTATGATTTGGTATCTCACCACTTCTTGCATACCATCCCTCGGTTCAGGTTAGTCAGTCTTTCAGCAAAGGTCTCTGAATGGTGAAACATTTAAAAACATATTCTCTTAAAACAATGAGAGTCCTAATTTAGCTGGCTATAGCTTTTAGGAGTACTGGTGATTTTAACCCAGGACCCCAGGCATGCCAAGCACATACTTTACCACTGAGTTACATTCCCAGCCCCTAGAATTAATTGACAGTGTTTTCCCCTCTTTGGAGATCCATTATCAAGAAATCTACATATTAATCCTTTTAAAGTTTTTAGTTGGTCTGTTTTTCCTATTTTGGCATTTCATTAATTATGAGTCTGTGGATTTTACTTATTCAATGTATATTTTGTTAACCTTTAATGCTTTTCAGTTTTAATTTTTTTCTTTGAAATAATGATGGGAGCACTGGACTAACAACAGCTCAGAAGTCAAGAGTGATTGCTGCTCTTCCAGAGGACCCGGGATGGGTTCCCAGCACCCACGTCAGTTTGCTCATGACCAGCTGTAATTCTAGTTCCAGTGTGCACACATTGTGCTACACACTGACTCATGTAGGCACACACAAATACATAAAATAATATTATAAAAAGAATGGCTTTCATCACGACATTTTCATACACAGTATCATTGTACTTGGTGCAATTTCACCCTTCAAGGTGGTTGAGAGTCTTGAGAAGTGTAAACCACTGTTCCTTTTGCTGTTGCCTCTCACTCCTTCCTATTTCTTTTGGATTTAATAGAATCCATGGAGTTTCTGCATTCAAGCCTCAGCGATTCTTTGAGCATCTTTTGACACCTGATTTTAATTCCAGTTTACCACCTCCACCTTTCCAGACTTGCTTGTATCCTAATACTGCCTCCTTTTTGTTAAAAACACAACTGATCTAATAATTTTAAATATAAATATTCAGTCTATTAGAGCATCCTATTACATTTTAAGGCCGAGGTGCAAATTCGTTTCGTTGCATTCACCAACCCTGACACATGATTTTGCTCCCCGATGTTATAATCATAAACGTCTCTTACTGGAGCCTCTTTTATCTGTAGGGTTTTTTCTCACCCAAAGTTGTATTTCTTTGTGACAAACAGAACAAATGTAGATTCCTACAAACAACAGGGACCGCATGAGGCACATTCAAATTTGCTAAGACACTAGAGAAGTTTTCGTCCAAAAACAATGGCTAGGTGTCCAGTCAGAAACTACACACTAGCCGGGCGGTGGTGGCGCACACCTTTAATCCCCGCACTTGGGAGGCAGAGGCAGGAGGATCTCTGTGAGTTCGAGACCAGCCTGGTCTACAAGAGCTAGTTCCAGGACAGGTTCCAAAAAAACCACAGAGAAACCCTGTCTCGAAAAAACCAAAAAAAAAAAAAAAAAAGAAAAAAAAAAAAAAGAAACTACACACTAACCAAGTGAACCAATTCCTTCTTAGTGGTTGTGAAACAGGAAAGAAAGAGGCAAGAGATGTTCAACGCATTATTTTTAATTGTTTTTATGGAGTGATACATTTTTTTCTCCACTCACCTCCCTTCCTCCCCTCTCCCCTTTCACCGTCTCCCATGACCATGATGCTCTCAG